AGGTTTGAACCCATTGAATTACGATAAATATAGCCTGGTTTTTAGGGAGCAGAAAAGTAACTATACAAAGTAAATACTTATGTTTATTGATAAACTTAATTTAAACACAATTATTTACATTAACTTCTTTGACGATTCCAGCCATTGAAGAACTCTATTTGGGCAAAGGGGACGGGATGGGTGCTCTTGGGGCGATGGGTGCTACTGGGGCGTTGGGTGCTTTTGTGGCGATGATTGCTATTAGGGCGATTAGTGCTATTGGAACGATTGGTGCTACAGAGACGATGGATGCTTTTGGGGCGATTGCTGCTACTGGGCGATGGGTGCTATTGGGGCAATGGATGCTATTGTGGCTATAGGTGCTTTTGGGCCGATCGATGCTATTATGGCGATGGGTGTTATTTGGGTAATAGGTGCTATTGGGGAGATGGGTGCTATTGAGGAGGCTATTGGTGCTTTGGAGTGATCGATGTTATAAGGACGATCGATTCTATTGGGGCGATGGATGCTATTGATGTGATCCATGCTATTTGGGCGATCGATGCTATTGGTGCGATCGATGCTATTGGTGCGAGGAATGCTATTGAGGAGATGGGTGCTACTGGGGTGATCCATGCTATTTGGGTGATCGATGCTGTTGGGGGCGATGGAGGCTATCGGGTCAAGGGATGTAATTACCCTCTGGCGCTGTACATTTATAAACATGGGTGCTATAAATTAAAACACAAAATTATCACCCCCTTTCAAAAGAAAAAGCATTATTCATGCCACCGGCACGTGTCTGCCACACCGGCTGCAGTGAAATAAAATCAATACGCACGGCGTCGTTAAGTTAAAAACAAATATATTCCTGCTGAATTATCCAACAACAGTCATCTGTTTTTGAGCCCGTCGCCGGGACGTTGTTGACGTGCGTGTCGCCATTGTTTTCGACCAAGTGAACAATGCCACCTGGAGGTCTTTTGTTTCGTGTCGTTCTGATCATCGAACACACTCTCTCTTGCTCATTTAATAAGTAATTATGGTAGAAATTGTTTTCTATAAAAGGAACGTCGCATAAAAGGAAATTTTATGGTACACGCTGACCTGTGCATAAAATTATTTCTATTTCATAGTTCAAGGGATTTATTGATTTTTTAATGACTAATTAAAATCGGGTGAAATTTTTATGGGGTAAAAAGAGGAGCGGTGTGTTGAGGAGCGATGGGGGTGGTTTTTATTAATCTTCCTAATGACCTTTTCATATTTAAAAAAAAATATAGATAAATTTATATTAAAAGTCTGATAATCATTGCGTACAAAAGTATCTTTGGTGATGTGTGTTGTTATTAAAGTGAGACCAAAATCAAATGCGTTTTATCACAATAATTTTTTTTTTAACCCTGCCCGTAGATTCAAGGTTCGGGTCACGTGATGTCGGTGACATAATGGTGCACAGAATCTACTGCTACGTCTGCGCCATCATTCTATCGGAGATGTCGGTAACATCGAAGATCCTTTCTCTATTAATTAATTGCTTACCCCCCCCCCCACTTCTTTACGCTCATCTTTCGCACCATTGTTGTTTCCATTGTTTGGTCTGTTCGTGGTAAACAAAATCGTCTTGTCAGCCTACGTGAGAATCCTCAACGCGACCCATTCAAAGTGGCAAGCGTCGCTCGACTGTCACGATCGATTTGAAAATAGCCACCTTAGACTTAGTATGAGGTCAATAAAATGTTTCAGCAGAAAATATCCCATCGATCGTGACATTGATATCCTTTGAAGAGAGTCGTATGCGCTTTTTATTATTCCAGACGAATGCCTCTTGAACTATTATTATTGACCCCACTAATTGGCGCGTTTAAATGTTGAAATTTAGCCTGTCCATTGGTTTCATTAAGAATTGCTGGCATCCGTCCGTCACAATGTGACGCTGGAGTGGGCTTCGGAGGACGAAATCATTAAGAATAATCCATAGGCAAAGACAGCAAGCGTTAAAAAAAAATTCAAAATGACGTTCTATGAAAACGAACTCTGCCTTCTTTAATTACATTTTTGAAAGATTTTTAAAACCTAAAACTATTGCAGTTTCTCCATAGTTTTGAATATCTCCTCATTTACATAACTGGTTGTTAAGAAAAATGACACTTTTGAAAAACGGAAATGGAATATGCGGGAGTCATCTTGAACAACGGAACATTGGTCGGTTGCCAAACCAAAAATATGTAAAGTCTGACCGCTTCAAATTTCGCTATTGCAAAAACCTCAAAATATTATCTTTTTTTGTACTGACTGCTACCAAAAGGAGATGGTGTTAATTGTTTGTTTTGTGTTAAACTATAAATAAACCCGGTAAACCGGCATTGCGTGAAATTCCCATTGACTAAAGTTACTTGACACATCATGCATTCAAGTAACGCACTTTATAAGAATCCCAATCAATGCTAACTTCTGGGAATTTTATTTTGCGCGTCATTGAACACATGGCGTTACAGCCACTGATGTGATTGATGCTCTAAATACAATAAAAAAAAATAATTTCTGTCTTAGCAGTCGACAGCATCATTCTTATAATCCGGTCATGACTTTTATTTTTTTTTAAAGTTTAGAACTCCTGGTCTGAATTACTTGTTCATTCAATGTGGTGGAGAAAAAGATGTACAGAGTCTTTGGACAAAATGAATGAAAGTCACAATTTAGATAGTTGACTCCAGGGACAATATGAATGTTTAATGGGTATAGCTCTCCCCGAATACCTAGCAAGACAGTTTAGCTCCTCAGGCTAACCTAGGCCGTCCCAAAATTCAGCCCACACACATGAATTATAATAATAGTGTTAATACATATTCATAAAATGTCCGTCCCACCATCATGGTACACCCGCGGTTGATACCATCACATAAAACACTGGTTGTAACCCTCTAACAATTATGAGAGCTTTTTTTTATTTGTTTTTAAATTCGTCAAATAATATGCCACCACCTACCACCATAAGTCTCTCCTTCTTATTATGGGCGAAAGACAACCTTCTGACAACATCTAAACATTAGACCGGGTTGGCGTGAGGCTTACTTTTGCAGAAGTAGCTGGGGTAATAAGCTATTCTTTTGAAGAGGGCAAAGAACATTCTCCAGTTTATTTATCCCCACCGTAGAAACTAAATATCACTGGGCGAATCGTTGACGAATCGATGCTACGGTGAAACCCGTGAACAGCACAACCCCTTGAGACCAACCGAAATTGGTGCTGTTTGCAAGGATGGTGCTTTTCAATGACTAGGCCAGAATGAGGTGCATGCAACAACAATTTGAAAGAAGAGGATTATGCACGTTAAAAGTGGATTAAAAGTAAGAGATTAACCCCCCCCCCCCCAAAAAAAAAAAAAAAAAAAATATAATATGAAGCCAAGCAAGATTTTATTGTGCTTAAAAATTCTTCACGCAGCTCATTGACATCAACATGAACATGTTCAGTATTTCAACAGAGATTTATGACCATCCAAACAAAATAAATGGATGAGTGCATTGTCACAATTTCGATCGTCTTGATTTCACTCCGCGTAGGTGACGTTCGCAAACGACTTCCACGGTTCATACACGTCCCCCGGTTTTGTGGCAAATTTTCTGACAGCACGCTGCTTCGTCCTGACTTGATAGGCACGTAGCGCGGTAGCAGACCGATTAGCGAGGCGAATGGTCTGCTGTCGTAACTCGGTTGTCGGCGTGGAATGGCATGTGGTTTTCACGGGGGGTGGGGTGGGGGTGGGAGAGACGATTCCCGTCCAATGGAAAGCCCTGTCATTTTGACAGGAATTGTGCTAAATTTAAAAAAAAAGATTTTTGTTAAGAAATCGATTCGTGCTAGGGCTGAGTGCAGGGGCTGAGTGCAGGGGCTGAGTACTGGGGCTGAGTAGCCCCATTTGCCAGGCAAATCGCTATTTTAAGTTTCGCTATTTGTAAGTTTCACTTAATTACTTTTCAGGGTGCTTCATAACATTCATCCTCTTGTACGTGCTGGCGACCCCGTCATATTCCTTGTTGAGCGGCATTGTCGTGGACATTGACCATGAAAACACGATGTACATTGAAAGCTCCGCCTGCGTCGAGTGCATGTCGGCCGGCTTTGTCGCCAGCCAGACCTACAGTGTCGAACTGACCTTAAACACGACCACAGCAATGTACTCCCCATCGTCGTTCTGCATGACGGTCTACGAATGCTTTTTCAGCGGTGAGTAGACCTGGTAGACAGAAGCAAGCCATTTCGGAGTACAGTATATTCTTGCACTGTGATTTAAAATTGTAGATGTGTAAAATGTAATGGAACATTTGTTTTAAAAAAAGAATGTAACCTACATTTTGGAGCGAAAAAGTTTATCTGTAAATGACGTCACGCATCTTGGTGAGGGGGATCACAAATTTATAACCAAGCTTTTCCCAAAGAGTCATGGCCTTGAGACAAATTTGTGACGAAGCTTTTCCCAAAGAGTCATTGCTTTGAGACTAATTTGTGACGAAGCTTTTCCCAAAGAGTCATGGATTTGAGACTAATTTGTGACGAAGCTTTTCCAAATGAGTCATGGCTTTGAGACTAATTTGTGACGAAGCTTTTCCCAAAGAGTCATGGCTTTGAGACTAATTTGTGACGAAGCTTTTCCCAAAGAGTCATGGCTTTGAGACAAATTAGTGACGGGGACAGCATAAAATTGAGAGGGATGGAACAACGTGATTTCATTTGTTGTGGGCCTAACATCAACTGAAACATTAATTTTTAGAAACAAAAATGTAAGGTAATTATTTATATTTAGTTTCATGCTCTATTCATTTTTAAAGATGTAATTCGCGATTCAACAATATGATTTTATTTTTTATGAAAGTCTCTTTTGTTTGCTAACAGGAGCGAGTCTATTGAAAGTGAACATCAGCTCAGATAACGACTCGTTCGCTGCCAGCCTGGTCCCTGCTTTCTTGTCTGACCTGAGCCTGACATTTGAAACAAACCTTACTTTTAACGAGCCGTGTAACTTGAAGGCTTCCGTAAGCACGGGAGCAGGTGTGACCTTCACCTTCAATGTAAGTACCTTTTAATCAGCTCTTTTTTAATGGAAATGTATGAATATCTCTACATCACGTTGCTGTTTGTGGGGCTCTTACCTCTAAATTCAAGAAACACGCAGTAGTAACACAACTATGGGGGAGGGGGGCAAATAACCCTATTTTTCAACTTACGTCTCTTGCGTAACTCTCCGATTAAGTGGTGATGATTCAAAATTCAATTCAGGTATATGTGAAAAAGTTTCAAAAAGCATTCTTACATTTGAAGTTTATACAAAATTATCAAATATTTTTTGGGGGGAGGGGAATTTTGAGCTACCTCCCCAGACCCCATTACCCGCCCCCCTCCAACTTTCCTTCGGGAAATAAGCCATTTGAGTTATGCAGAGTAGTGCAGACTCATAACACGCATAACGTTACCTCCTCCACAATGTTATTTTGTTACAATAGCGGTGCTCTAAATTTCAACAAGATTCCACTATAATAGTTTAAGTAAAAACCAAACAATCGCAGCGTCTTTCTTAAACAGCAGGTGTTCTTAATGCATAGTCCTCTGAAACTTTGCGTGCCCTAAACATGTGTCAAAGGATCCGTAGACTGCGTCTGCTTTGTTTTATATCAATTTAAAAAAAAATTTTTTTATCAAGATAAAGGCCGGTGGCTTTTAGATGACACCAAAAAGTTATACAGCACAATAAGCTCAAGAGCCCCTGGTGTGGGTGATACAATATAAACATATTTTTTTGGCGAAACCTTTCAGCGAATAGTTAGTTAATTACCCTCAAAGTATATTTTCTATTGTTACGTTTTCATTTTCTTTTTTTACGCACCCAGATCTCGCATGCCCTCAACAGCACATTGCTCATGAATGTCTTTGAACCTACCAACGTGACGGCAAAAAACGCGGTCCTGTGTTTCATACCTCCTTACCTGGGCATTTACACCATAGTCGTGGAAGCATCTGCCAGTTGCGGCCAGGTCCTGACCAAAACGTTCTTCCAGTCGGCGTACGCACCGAATCCACCGATAGACGTCAGCATAGTGGGCGGGTCTCTGCGGCAGGCGAAGCTCGGCAGCGTCGTCAGTTTGGATGCCCAGTTGAGTTTATACAACGGCGATACGGTCACTCCGGCGAACACGAACTTCAGCTTTTCTTGGGCGTGTTACCTTCTCTTGCCGGGCTCCGACGGTGTCAGGTACACCCAGCCCCACAACAACGACACCAGCTACAGAACCCTGCAAACTTGTAACTTAACGATCCCGGCGACTGGCGTCGTCAGCATCAGCACTTCCGGCTTCGCTGTCAATGCCTTCGCGCTGTTCGAGGTCACTGTTCGGAACAAGGCTCAAGTGGGCACCGCTGCGCAAGTTGTCTCCATCCTGTCTACTCAACCCCCTTTGGTAGCTATAGAGTAAGCAATAGGCCCAAATTAATGCACATTCTTATTAAATTATTTGATTAATCATTTTAAGTTAATTTGGCTAGCGGTTTAATTTAGGAGCTCTTGGTGATTCTTTTACTTTTCTTACCTTTTTTGAGAAACAAACTTATTTTATTTGTATAAACGCAAAGCACATGAACAAATATAGCTCTAATTCACGAAAAGAGGTGAATTCAGGCTAAAATGTGTTGCGGTATGATGTATCACTTTGATATTACTTTACGTACGGTACAAGGAAGATTTTAAATTGAAATAAAAAGTATGGCATGAACCAAAATACTTGGAGGTGAGGGGGGGGGGGGGACTAAAGCCAAAAAAAAACGTTAAAAATGGTCTTTAAAAAAGTAATTTATTTTTTATTCATTTAAACCAAGTGTTGCATATATTGATTTAGATTAAGAGGAAATAGTAAGATTAGTCTTAAATGGTTACTATTTTATTGTTAAAAGAGATTATTAGTAACCGTTATCATGCTATGGGACAATTTCTGGTGCACAACAACAAAAAATAATGAAATTGAAACAGTTCAAGGTTTCACCATTTCTAAATCTAAGGTTGGCATTTTTTTTTTCTTATTTAAAACCAAGAGAATTTAACATTTAAAAGCGTTTAGGCGCCATTAGTGGCTAAAAAGAAACAACTATTTGCGGTCACTAGGCGAAACTCTTCTGTGTGAGGCGTTATTTTTGGATTAAAAACAATATTGTGATGCTTATTTTGTTAGAGCTTTATTTTTGTATGTTTGGATATTGTATGAACTTAATCTTTTCACAGATGAACAATTTCTGATTTTGTAGTCAAAACAGTAATGGTTACAATTCACGACTAGCCAGGATATATGTAGAAAACCAATAAGTGTACTGGTAAAAACCGTACAACTAGTCACCTTATTGAAATCTGACACCGTTTGTAAAATTTAGGCTATTGAAGATTATACAAAAGATTTAATGAAAAGACTCTGAAATATTACGAAGATTTTTAAGAAACTTAACTGCCGGTAGACAAATTATCACAAGACGATTTCTGACCTTCGAGGTAGTGGGGTGGACTTATATGGCGCTTAGTAGCTTATCATTACGGGTCTCATTTGGGGCTTAGGGCACATGTTCGGGCTCTTGTCGGTGTCTTAGGGCACATGTACGTGGTCTTGTCAATGTCTTAGGGTACATGTACGTGGTCTAATCGATGTCTTAGGACTTATGTTCGGGCTCTTGTCGGTGTCTTAGGGCACATGTACGTGGTCTTGTCAATGTCTTAGGGTACATGTACGTGGTCTAATCGATGTCTTAGGACTTATGTTCGGGGTCTTGTCGATGTCTTAGGGCACATGTTCGGGATCTTGTCGATGTCTTAGGGCACAAGTTTGGGTTTTTTTGGTGTCTTTTGGCACATGTTCGGGGTCAAGTCGCTGTCTCAGGGCACATGTTCGGGGTCTTGTCGATGTCTTAGGGCACATGTTCGGGATCTTGTGGATGTGTTAGGGCACATGTTCGGGGTCTTGTCGATGTCTTAGGGCACAGGTTTGGGTGTTTTCGGTGTCTTTTGGCACATGTTCGGGGTCAAGTCGATGTCTTAGGGCACATGTTCGGGATCTTGTCGATGTCTTAGGGCACAAGTTTGGGTTTTTTCGGTGTCTTTTGGCACATGTTCGGGGTCAAGTCGCTGTCTCAGGGCACATGTTCGGGATCTTGTCGATGTCTTAGGGCACATGTTCGGGGTCTTGTCGATGTCTTAGGGCACATGTTCGGGGTCTTGTCGATGTCTTAGGGCACAAGTTTGGGTTTTTTCGGTGTCTTTTGGCACATGTTCGGGGTCAAGTCGCTGTCTTAGGGCTGATGTTTGGGGTCTTTTCGGTGTCTTAGGACACATGCTCGGGGTCTTGTATGGTTCATAGGACGCTTTTTCAAGGCTTTTCTGAATCTTATTGAGCTGTTTTTTGTTCGGTTGTTTGTTTTTTTTTTGTGGGGTAGGAAGTCTAGTCTGAGTCATTGAGCTGATCATACCATCACTAGACAAAATTTCTAATTTAAAAGGTGTTCGGTGGTCATAATTAAGGGTCTTTTCTTGGTCTGAAGGCACATATTCGTGATTTTTTTTTTTTTTTGGGAGTCTTAGAGAGCTTATTCTGAATCTCGTCGGGGGCCTTTTTGTTACGCTATTCGGGGGTCTAGTCTATTTTTTTTTTTTTGTATTCTTTTTTGTATTTTAAAAATTTCTTATTTAAAATTTTTTTGGTTGTTTTTATTAAGGGTTTTTTTTTGGTTTGAAGGCACATTTTTGTTATTTTTTTTTTTTTTTGGGAGTCTTAGAGAGCTTATTCTGAATCTCGTCGGGGGCCTTTTTGTTACGCTATTCGGGGGTCTAGTCTGGAACTTGGGGAGCTTTTTTTTAAATTTTTTTATTTATGTTTTTGGTTGTGGGGTGGGGGGTGGGGTGGGTTTCTTGATTGGATCATTAAGCTATTGCTGCTGATACCATTCAGTGACATTGTTAACAATATTTTAAAAAATAAGCATCCTGACAGTTATTATTCTTTTTTATATCAGTTGCGTTTGGAACTGTGACAGTAAGGTGATACCAGGTGACAGGACAAAATTCACTGGAGTCATCAAGGAGTGCACCGAATGCACGGATCCGAGAGAATCTCTGGAGGCAAGGTACAGCTGGTCGATTTCAAAATACGACAGTGTCAGGAATGTTGAGGTTCCTATTCCTTACGGCTCATGGGGGACACTAATAACATCTGGTAAGTTCCAGCAAGAATTTTTTTAACTTGTTCTTTTAATTTCCGTATAATTACAAATGTTACAGGTATTTGTTTCTTAAATTTGAGCTTCTAGCCTCAACAATGCAAAGAGCAGAGGTTTCTCGTGTTGTCAGTCCTTTATACGTTCCCCAGTGTTAGCTGGCCATTCTAGTAAAGCAGTGTCCTCTTTTAAAAATCATGTATATTAACTTCGCTTTTGTTCGTGTGTCTCCTTGTGGCAATATCTTTAGAACGCTTATTGATCGACTTCCCGTCATCCTATCGACCTGAAACTCGGCATGCTGACAATAATTTTTTTAAAATTTTCAGTCCCACCCCCCACCCTCAAAAATCACGTTTTTGTAATTCTCAGGGCAGTGTGGGGGGGGGGGAGGAATGTTAATGCTTGGCTCAATGGTTGCATGTTTTGGTGTGAAGATTAATGGTGTAGCCGTTGCATTTTTGACGTATTTGGGTATGCATTAAAAATAAAATGTATTTTTGCAGGGTAAATTGAAGGGCAGTTGACGAGTTATAAAGCGATTAGTGAACTAATAAAGGTTAATCAATTCTCAATACCATTTTTTTTTTACAAACTGTTGAAATTTGTCCAACGCATAGTATCTTTTATTTACACTACGGGGCCGCAATCTTTAGGCGGGAATATAATGGTATCTTCGCACTTTATCCAAAACCGCTTTAGAGAAACTGTTATAGTAAAAGTGTGTTATCCAGGGATTATATAGACTGCATAGCCCACAGAGGCTCTGGCGGACATGTCTGTAGCGGCATGTTGACTAAAGTGGCGCTGCCACCGATTCCCCTAGCGCTACCCTGGAAACATAACCAACGTTGCGTGATCATGCGGGGGGGGGGGGAGGGGAGGCAGACGAAGGGCATGCATGGTATCTGCCAAAATTTATCAACAAAAGTGCTACTGCCAGCTGTGGACGTATCACTACTCCTATGTTGTCACAGACGGATATGAGTCATTCGATGTGTTTTTGACTCCATACGCAGAGCCATTGAGGAAGCAGTTCATAGGAGAGCGCTTCGTTCCAGCTACTTAGTGAGCTTTCAATGAATTCAATATGAACTGCCTTTAGATGTCCCCTAAGCCTTGGTATTTCTTTTAAAAGTTCATCTTCTCATAACTCATCAAACAAAGGGTTTAAAGTTGGAACCGACACCAGTAACTCTTCTCTCTTTGGGTTGAACACGCCCAAACAAATCTACTTCTTCCTTGATCACTGATATGAAGTGGGGTTCAGAATGAAAGCGATCAATGCACTCCAGAATGTCTCTTCTTTTTTCTTCTCATAGAGGGAGTCCATCATTTATTAATTGTTCTCCTGCCATTCTATTCTTAAAACGTAAATTATTCTCTATGGAAATTCCATATTGGTCTGATTTTAAAAGTACCTTTTCAATAGCATGTTCCACCAAGGGACGCAGATACTGCCATGCAAGATTAACTTCATCAAGAAGATAAACGTGAAATCATAGACAGCATGTAAAATACCTTGTGCTGTATGACAATCGTGCTCAAACTTTACAAGGCTTTGCTAGTGACGAAACGGCCTTAATTTTTGAATATTTCTAGGTTTCGATTTATTTGGTTTTAAACAAAAAATATGATTTTTAAATTTAAAGAATTTTATATCAAATATTAAAAGTTATTAGAAACGTGACCAAACCCTTTCAAAGGATAAAAAAATTGTTAATGTTTTTAAATTTTACCGATTCGATTCATGTACTTAGAATCACCCAACCACATCGTATTTTTGTATCAAATTAAGATATATATAGTTTCATTTCATTTACGAACGTTTCCAAACTCTTAAATCGGCGTTGAATCATGGTCAAAAAGGTGTTTCTCTGACTTAATTATAGGGCCGCCCTATTTCTGACGCAATAACCGTACTTTAAATAAAGCACGCATTTGGATTGGTTACACGTCTGATGGCTTGTCCTTTTTAGTGTCACCCAGTGTGGTACACTCCCCCCCCCACACACACACCCTCCTAGCTACGCCACCATGTCTACTATGAATAGGCCTACTTCTAAAACTCACGATTGGGTCTGCTATAACTATTCATACTTGTGCCCCGCCACCTTACTTCCAGCCCCAGACAGCAATACCCTCGATATTGACGGTGGTTGGTTCCTAGAAGGCACGACGTACACAATCTTGCTGAGCGTCAACGTAAGCTACTTTCCGGAGGCAAAAGCCGTGAAATCTGTCTTCACCAATCTGAAGCCTTACGGTGGAAACTGCAGCGTTGAGCCATTAGAAGGTATTGCCCTGAGTGTATCGTCGTGGAGTTATTAATTAAATTCCCTTTATAAGTTGTCTACGTGAAAGGTAAAACATCAAGAGTTGTCTCAATTCTTATGATTAAAAAAAAAAATGTTCTGTAAAAAAATAAATTATTCAAATATCTTCTAGTATCCACAAAAAGGTTTAAATTGTTTTTAAAAAAAAATTGAAAAGAATGAGCATTCTCTAGTTAAACTAATATTTTAATCTGACATTAAAGCTTATATTTTACAAATGGGGGCATTCAGGCATGCTTTTCACAACTTTCCTGGTGCAGTTGTGATGTCATCGTCCCTAAGTCATTAAAAGAATAAATACTACACTATAAGGTTGGGTTCTGATCAGACTTTTTTTGTTCTTCCTTCATGCCTTTGTTAGCAAAATCCCGTATCATTATTATGTCTTCAGTTTATTCTTTTTTTTTAATGCCCATAACTATCATTATCCCATCTGACGCTCGTCTGACTAAGCAAACTATTTTTATAAGTATAATTAAACATATCATTTATTACCTACAGGCATCACAACGGTCACAAACTTTACGTTTAAATTGCTCGGCTGGAAAGATGAAGGCGCTAACCCTTATCGAAATCCCTTGATAGATTCTAGCGCTGGCCTGCAATATGAAGTTTATCAAGAAACTGCCGTTGGCACGCAAATTGTATATTCTCGGGGTAAGATTTAAGGTATCTAGGAAGCTTGAGAAGAAAGCCCCTAACAGGCAATGCAAAAAAAAGTTATTAGCCCAAACTTTAATTTGCAACTGCCAGGACTGCTTTGATGTAGGTAAGAAATGTGTGTTTGGGTGGGGGATGTATGACGCACCCAGGTAGAATGGTTTAATCCGAGGTAAGATGTTTTATCTCAGTTAGAATGGTTTTATCTTAGGTAGAATGGTTTTATCTTAGGTAGAATGGTTTTATTAGGCCAGCTGAGCATCTATTCATAAAGAACGAGAAAATCCTGATAATAAAATCTGTGCAAGCGAATAATCCATTCCGTTCTAAAACAATGTAGCAACATGTCAGTCTAAAACTTACAGCACTATGTCAGTCAAAAAATTATAACACCATAATAGTCAAAAACATTATAAAACCAATCAGTCTAAACATTATAAAACCATGTAAGTCTAAACATTAAAACACCATGTCAGTCTAAAGCAGGCCTGCACCAACATACGGCCCACCAGCACCCACTTTGCTGCCCACGAAGTAACGAAATAGTCTTTATTATTTCTATTTTCTTTTAGCTTTCTCTCTATCCTATTTTCTTTTGACCAGTGCAAGTTTATCTTAAAGTATCACGGCCCCACCTCACATTTTGAGTTGTTCATGCCTAGTCTAAAGCATTGTGGCACCATATCAGCCTACACCATTATAACACCATATCAGTCTAAAACATTATAACACCATATCAGTCTAAAACGTTATAACGCCATGTCCGTCTCTAACATGGTAGCACGATGTCAACCTGAAGAATTGTAGCACCTAAGAGCTCACCGTAGCCCACCCACCGCCCAAAACAGATGAATGGATGGCCCTAGTCGATTTTGACGTACGAACAACACCAAGCACCATGTCAGTCTAAAACATTATAACACCATGACCGTCGCTAACAGTGTAGAACCATGTCAGTCTAAAACATTATAACACCATGACCGTCGCTAACAGTGTAGAACCATGTCAGTCTAAAACATTATAACACCATGACCGTCTCTAACATTGTAGAACCATGTCAGTCTAAAACATTATAACACCATGACCGTAGCTAACATTGTAGAACCATGTCAGTCTAAAACATTATAACACCATGACCGTAGCTAACAGTGTAGAACCATGTCAGTCTAAAACATTATAACACCATGACCGTCGCTAACAGTGTAGAACCATGTCAGTCTAAAACATTATAACACCATGACCGTCTCTAACATTGTAGAACCATGTCAGTCTAAAACATTATAACACCATGACCGTAGCTAACATTGTAGAACCATGTCAGTCTAAAACATTATAACACCATGACCGTCGCTAACAGTGTAGAACCATGTCAGTCTAAAACATTATAACACCATGACCGTCGCTAACAATATAGAACCATGTCAGTCTAAAACATTATAACACCATGACCGTCTCTAACATTGTAGAACCATGTCAGTCTAAAACATTATAACACCATGACCGTAGCTAACAGTGTAGAACCATGTCAGTCTAAAACATTATAACACCATGACCGTCGCTAACATTGTAGAACCATGTCAGTCTAAAACATTATAACACCATGACCGTCTCTAACATTGTAGTACCATGTCAGTCTAAAACATTATAACACCATGACCGTCTCTAACATTGTAGAACCAGGTCAGTCTAAAACATTATAACACCATGACCGTCTCTAACAATGTAGAACCATGTCAGTCTAAAACATTATAACACCATGACCGTCGCTAACATTGTAGAACCATGTCAGTCTAAAACATTATAACACCATGACCGTCTCTAACATTGTAGTACCATGTCAGTCTAAAACATTATAACACCATGACCGTCGCTAACAATGTAGAACCATGTCAGTCTAAAACATTATAACACCATGACCGTCGCTAACATTGTAGAACCATGTCAGTCTAAAACATTATAACACCATGACCGTCTCTAACATTGTAGAACCAGGTCAGTCTAAAACATTATAACACCATGACCGTCGCTAACATTGTAGAACCATGCCAGTCTAAAATAGTATAACACCCTGTCAGTAAAACTTGCGACACCATCTCAAAGTAATACATGGTTACATCGTATCAAAGTTGAAAGACATTTGCTAACAATTTAGGCTAGAAGCATTGTCGATCAGCTTCAAAATGACATGCTTCATTGTGACTAGGGGTGTAAAAAATTCAAATACGTCTGGTCAGACTCTTAAAGTGTTTGCAAAATATATATGTATGTATATACATTAGCTTTTTCATTAATGTTACATTCTCCTAGGATCAGACTAATTGTGGATATTTTTCATTGTTAACCTTATATGAAGCATTTGGCATTTTGCATATGTATATAAATATTTCAACAGTAGGAAGGCATACTTATAAATTGTAAATACCATACAGCTTAAATATTTGGAGTTGTTTAAAAAAATTGCCCACACTTTTTAAACAAATAATTTCAAACGCAATATAAAATATTTACTTAAGATCTTCTCTTACAACTTGAAACGTTAATTTGGCAAATTGTGTTAAATAACTTTTTTTTCGGTTTTATTTGTAATCTCTTTTAAAATCCTAAAGGACAAGCAAGTCTGGTTTAAAAAATATATATATATATATAATGCCTAAGGGTTCAGTTCATCATTTTTTTAAAAACATTTTTAAAAATCTATTTACTATTCCTGCTGTTTAATTTCAGGGAATAGTATATCTGAGGGAATATTCTTGTCAGAATGTGTTGGCAGCGGCGGTATCTGCAATATGACAGTGTTTGTCATAGATATCTATAAGGCAAAAACTACTTGCTTCTTCACAGTAAAAGTAAGGAGAAGGGTCATTTTCATAATGCTAATGTACATATACATATCATATGTATAATATGTATACATATATATATATATATATATATATATATATATATACTAGAAAATAACACCCGATTTTATTGAGATAATAATAGCAGGCACTTTCCTAAATTTCCATATACATAACATATGTATAATATGTATACATATATATATATACTAAAAAATAACACCCGATGTTATCGAGATAATAATAGCAGACACTTTCCTAAATTTTCCAACTGCTATTGTGAAAACTCATCGTAATGCCGTATTTTGAGAAGAAGTATTTATGTAATGATGTTGACTTTTTAACTTCATTAAAAGTTTTAAAAGTATTTTTCTGCTATGTTTTATACACTTACCCTGACCCCCTTTTCGCGCCCCTAAACTAAAATTATTTTTTCTCTAAACCTGATCTTAAATTGCCAAAACTAAATGATTACTGATTAAATCATAATGGTCACTTAAGGAGTTAAGGTGGGGGAAAATACATAATCATTTCTGACACACGCGGTTATTAAATCAAAGAAAGTTAGAGCTTTGGCTAACATAGGCCGTTTGAGCTATTACGTTATTTGCGTGTTCATTTAATTCAAATTTATTTTAATTTTATTTGGCAATATTAAAAACGCATTAAAACGCACACAAAAAAAAAACAACCTTACAAGTGATTGGGTTTTCCAAAATAATGCGATCACAATGTAATTCTTAGACCATATTTTTTGTAATTTTTATACTGTTTTTTTCTGTTGTTTTGTTTGCTGACGAAGGCTTCCTGCCGACACGTTCGTTGTTTTGTTGCGTTCTTTTTTTTTCAGGTTTAACCCTACTTTGTTTTACTCATTTTATTTTGTCCTAACATTATTGCAGTCTCTCCCATTATTACCCTTATATTAATGATAGTTATAAGGAGATTAAGTAGAATTTTTTTAAATATTTTTTTTTTAAATAGGAAAAGGAGATACTATGTTGCATCCGTGGTTGACTTCTTTGACTAGCCAAAGAAACTTTGAGCTCTTGCCCAATATTTCTTTTTTACCAACAACTAAAAGCTTGTGTTAATGCACCTAATTTCTTACTTACCCAGAAATTGTGTTTAAACACATCTTTTGCAGAGCGTAAGGGGTGCGGAAAACCGCTACGTTGTCTTTTTTTTTAAACCTCACCGTTAAATGATTTGTCAAAACCCCTCCTTCCGCCAGGACAACTATCTGTCAGAATCCTAGAACTTTTTTTAAAAATTATTCAAGTGTAGAGTTATTTGAGTTCTTGCCAGATTTTCTGCATACAGTTTTTCTACTTTTCAGGTGGCTGGGGTTCCTCTTACGCTTTCAAACAATAGTTCCCAGACAAATGAAAATGTTGACAACTCATTGGAATTCATCCAACAGCTGACGACAAAATTAGAAAATAGTGCGGACCCGCTAACAACAGTGAGACGCGCTGCGTTGTTTACTACGATTGTCACTTCTATTGTACGTATCTGGTGAAGATTTTTTTTTTTTTTAAATTGTTACAGAAATATAAAGTAGCGATCTACAAATGACAAGATTTTTAGGTAATCTGTTTTCGCATTGTTTAATTTAAAATCAAACATCTTTTTTTTAAAAATAATATCTTGAGACGAACCAGATCATTGTAGGTTGCAAAATATATTTAAATATGAGCAATAAAAATTGGGTCTTAATCTCAATGTTAAAAGTTGTACTTAATGAAAGGCTGCTGAATGACTTATGATGCTTTTAAGAGATTGGGATCGCTTGGTAATTTTATTATTAAATTATATTAAAACTTGATGGACGCAACATAACAAACCATTTTCAATCGTTATCCGTACTTTGTGTCCATTTGGAAGGGTTTAATTCAAGCTTTTCTTTATATATCCTAAAAATATTGTTATTATTCAATGCGATTGGCAGGGACTTTTTTTATTACAAAAAAAAATAATGATTTTCATAGTTTCAGTTACTCATTTTGTTTTTTGAAATTCTAATTTTTAAACACATTTTATTCGGATGGTAATCTTTTATCTGGTTTTTTTTTTTTTCGATTACAAAACTATGGTAGGGCATTGTATATATTTTTGCTGCCGGTGTTTCCTCCTTCCTTGTCACAACCGCCCCACTTACTCCACACGTCTTAAATGAATAGTCACTTAATGAGCTTTCATGTGTGACGTCTGCACTCCGGTAAAAGAGTCTCATCTTTTTCAGGGGGGTGAGATTATTATATTAATCAATCAATAACCACGAGTATGGATTAAGATTTTCCGTAGGACTGTCAGAGGACCGTGTATAGGTAAATTGTTTAAAGGATGTCAGTTACGGTGTAGGACTTTCTGTTCGCCTATTGTTTAAAGGGCCGCATATATTATAGAAAATGAGGAATTTTTGTAACAATTGGACCCAACGGGTATTTTCTCAAAATACCCGGACAGTTGTACTCTAACTGAATCCTGTTAAGCACTAGTTACTCAATGCTTGATAGGGCTAGACTGTTTTATTTAAAGAATTTGATTCAAATACGCTCTATTCTTGTATTTAGTGTATTTTAATTGCATCTTCCTTGTTTTTCATATTCACCGCTGTGCATGACACAAATCAACTTTAAAAAAACAAACATATTTTATTATGTTTAGGCAGATGGTGTTGTATACCAATGTGCATGACACAAATCAACTAAAAATTAACATTTTATTATGTTTAGGCAGATGGTGGTGTATATACACCAGAATCTATATCATCTGCTGGTGGGGTTGATTTGGACCCACCAGAAAAAAGCCCTGCCACTCAAGCCTTAGTAAAGGTATGATGAACTTTGTCAAATTTAATTCAAACACTCTAATCGATTTTAATTTGTAGTCCCTAAATTGCTATAAAGATTTAAGTCAGTTTTTTTTTAAATTAGTTTATGCTTTCATTTTATATTTTTTCGATATCCCAAATATTCTCTCAAAGGCTGCTAACAATTTTGTGAGTACGATAGGCGCAACGATCAATGAAGCTACAATAAAAGATCCAGTGCACTTACAAACGTATGCCAACTCTCTGGCCACTGCGACGTCCAACACAAAATACATGTCGGCTGAGTCAGTGGTGAGATTTTCATATCTAGCATTTTTTCCATTAAAGCCTTCATTGATCAAATTTTATTAAAGAATTAAAATGCCATTTGAAATTGAAAACAATACGTTCCAATGTGGTAACGAGTGAGTTCTTATAACCGAGATATTTAAAAGGTGGTAACAAGTGAGTTCTTATAACCGAGACATTTAAAAGGTGGTACCAAGTGAGTTCTTATACCCAAGACATTTAAAAGGTGGTACCAAGTGAGTTCTTATAACCGAGACATTCAAAAGGTAGTAACAAGTGAGTTCTTATAACCGAGACATTCAAAAGGTAGTAACAAGTGAGTTCTTATAACCGAGACATTCAAAAGGTAGTAACAAGTGAGTTCTTATAACCGAGACATTCAAAAGGTGGTACCAAGTGAGTTCTTATACCCGAGACATTTAAAAGGTAGTAACAAGTGAGTTCTTATAACCGAGACATTCAAAAGGTAGTAACAAGTGAGTTCTTATAACCGAGACATTTAAAAGGTAGTAACAAGTAAGTTCTTATAACCGAGACATTTAAAAGGTAGTAACAAGTGAGTTCTTATAACCGAGACATTCAAAAGGTAGTAACAAGTGAGTTCTTATAACCGAGACATTTAAAAGGTAGTAACAAGTGAGTTCTTATAACCGAGACATTCAAAAGGTAGTAACAAGTGAGTTCTTATAACCGAGACATTCAAAAGGTAGTAACAAGTGAGTTCTTATAACCGAGACATTCAAAAGGTAGTAACAAGTGAGTTCTTATAACCGAGACATTTAAAAGGTGGTACCAAGTGAGTTCTTATACCCGAGACATTTAAAAGGTGGTAACAAGTGAGTTCTTATAACCGAGACATTCAAAAGGTAGTAACAAGTGAGTTCTTATAACCGAGACATTTAAAAGGTAGTAACAAGTGAGTTCTTATAACCGAGACATTCAAAAGGTAGTAACAAGTGAGTTCTTATAACCGAGACATTCAAAAGGTAGTACCAAGTGAGTTCTTATAACCGAGACATTCAAAAGGTAGTAACAAGTGAGTTCTTATAACCGAGACATTCAAAAGGTAGTAACAAGTGAGTTCTTATAACCGAGACATTTAAAAGGTAGTAACAAGTGAGTTCTTATAACCGAGACATTCAAAAGGTAGTAACAAGTGAGTTCTTATAACCGAGACATTCAAAAGGTAGTACCAAGTGAGTTCTTATAACCGAGACATTCAAAAGGTAGTAACAAGTGAGTTCTTATAACCGAGACATTCAAAAGGTAGTAACAAGTGAGTTCTTATAACCGAGACATTCAAAAGGTAGTACCAAGTGAGTTCTTATAACCGAGACATTTAAAAGGTGGTAACAAGTGAGTTCTTATAACCGAGACATTTAAAAGGTGGTACCAAGTGAGTTCTTATAACCGAGACATTTAAAAGGTAGTAACAAGTGAGTTCTTATAACCGAGAATTTAAAAGGTGGTAACAAGTGAGTTCTTATAACCGAGACATTTAAAAGGTGGTACCAAGTGAGTTCTTATAACCGAGACATTTAAAAGGTGGTAACAAGTGAGTTCTTATAACCGAGACATTTAAAAGGTGGTACCAAGTGAGTTCTTATAACCGAGACATTCAAAAGGTAGTAACGAGTGAGTTCTTATAACCGAGACATTTAAAAGGTGGTACCAAGTGAGTTCTTATACCCGAGAATTTAAAAGGTGGTAACAAGTGAGTTCTTATAACCGAGACATTTAAAAGGTGGTACCAAGTGAGTTCTTATAACCGAGACATTTAAAAGGTGGTACCAAGTGAGTTCTTATAACCGAGACATTTAAAAGGTGGTACCAAGTGAGTTCTTATAACCGAGACATTTAAAAGGTGGTACCAGGTGAGTTCTTATACCCGAGACATTTAAAAGGTAGTACCAAGTGAGTTCTTATAACCGAGACATTTAAAAGGTGGTACCAAGTGAGTTCTTATAACCGAGACATTTAAAAGGTGGTACCAGGTGAGTTCTTATAACCGAGACATTTAAAAGGCGGTACCAAGTGAGTTCTTATAACCGAGACATTTAAAAGGTGGTACCAGGTGAGTTCTTATAACCGAGACATTTAAAAGGTGGTACCAGTTGAGTTCTTATAACCGAGACATTTAAAGGTGGTACCAAGTGAGTTCTTATAACCGAGACATTTAAAAGGTGGTAACAAGTGAGTTCTTATAACCGAAACATTTAAAAGATGGTACCAGGTAAGTTCTTATAACCGAGACATTTAAAAGGTGGTACCAAGTGAGTTCTTATAACCGAAACATTTAAAAGATGGTACCAGGTAAGTTCTTATAACCGAGACATTTAAAAGGTGGTACCAGTTGAGTTCTTATAACCGAGACATTTAAAAGGTGGTACCAAGTGAGTTCTTATAACCGAAACATTTAAAAGATGGTACCAGGTAAGTTCTTATAACCGAGACATTTAAAAGATGGTACCAGGTAAGTTCTTATAACCGAGACATTTAAAAGATGGTACCAGGTAAGTTCTTATAACCGAGACATTTAAAAGATGGTACCAGGTAAGTTCTTATAACCGAAACATTTAAAAGATGGTACCAGGTAAGTTCTTATAACCGAGACATTTAAAAGATGGTACCAGGTAAGTTCTTATAACCGAGACATTTAAAAGATGGTACCAGGTAAGTTCTTATAACCGAAACATTTAAAAGATGGTACCAGGTAAGTTCTTATAACCGAGACATTTAAAAGATGGTACCAGGTGAGTTCTTATAACCGAAACATTTAAAAGATGGTACCAGGTAAGTTCTTATAACCGAGACATTTAAAAGATGGTACCAGGTAAGTTCTTATAACCGAAACATTTAAAAGATGGTACCAGGTAAGTTCTTATAACCGAAACATTTAAAAGATGGTACCAAGTGAGTTCTTATAACCGAGACATTTAAAAGATGGTACCAGGTGAGTTCTTATAACCGAGACATTTAAAAGATGGTACCAGGTAAGTTCTTATAACCGAGACATTTAAAAGATGGTACCAGGTAAGTTCTTATAACCGAAACATTTAAAAGATGGTACCAGGTAAGTTCTTATAACCGAGACATTTAAAAGATGGTACCAGGTAAGTTCTTATAACCGAGACATTTAAAAGATGGTACCAGGTAAGTTCTTATAACCGAGACATTTAAAAGGTGGTACCAGGTAAGTTCTTATAACCGAGACATTTAAAAGGTGGTACCAAGTCAGTTCTTATAACCGAGACATTTAAAAGGTGGTACCAAGTCAGTTCTTATAACCGAGACATTTAAAAGGTGGTACCAGGTGAGTTTTTTTAACCGACACAACCAAAAGGTGGTGCTACGTAAGTTATCATAACTGCGATTCCAAAATTGACCTGAAAAATTGTAGTTTATTTTTAACAGATTAAACTTACGAGGAAGCAATAGTGGCTTAGCATGCTTTGAATGCTCCACTACAGAGCTAAGCTCTATCATCCTAAGACATTAATAATTATGATTAATCTTTTTTATATGTTAACACTTTCATAAAGTTCACGGTGTTTGAGAAATGTTAAACTATCTTTAGATCAAACATATGTCTTACCCTTCTGATTAATTGATATAAAATAAATTATAGTAAGTTATTTTTCCTCACAGAATACCGCCTCTAGTGCTCTGACAGTATTAACAGATATTTTCAGACAGAAAAACTTAAGAATAGCCGAAGTACTTCCCTGTCTGACTGGTAAATATACGATCAACTAAAAAAAAAACCCATAGTCATTGGTAAAGTAATAATAGTTGACCAAACAAAAAAGAAGACTAATAATAATTTATAAAATCAATGTTATATTTTTTTTTTTCTTTTTATTGATAGATTATTAATTTTTGCAACATTTTCCCCCCTACATTTTATTAGGCTTCAAAGATTTAATCCACAACATAATCAACATAACTGCACTTGATTTATCAGACTTGGAGCCTGATCTTAAAAGCACTAAGAATTCTTACCCTGACCTAAGTGATCAAGAGGTTAAATTTTATGCTCAATGGAAAGCAGATTTTCATAAAATTGAAAAGAAGGACATGATCAAAGAGGTAGGCTTAGCTGAAACATTAAATCACACCTTTGTCACCAAGGTGAATTATGGCCAAGTAAGTTGTTTTAAAAATGTACTGACAATAATATCCTCTATTCTCTTCTAAAAGTTGGATAGAAATATTTTCTTACACGATATGGTGTGCTTTGTTTCGTATGGCTTTAAATGTATGAAGCGCCTATGACGTACATTTTTTCAAGTTAAATCTAAAATTTGGCCCAGCTTAAAAATTTATTTTAATGCCTTATTAAGTATAAATACATTTATTTTACATTTCCGCTGCCTCCCGGCTTTCCACTGATATTGACCTTCATTAGGCTGATAAAACGGTTCGTGATCTCAAAAAGGCCTGGGATGACATATTTGAGGTTGTCAAGAAACTGCAAGACCCTAAAGGTGTCTTTGAAACAAAAAGAGAAACGTTTACGCTGCAGACAGTGCAACAAACTAAAGCAGACCTAACAAAAGGATTAAAATTGTTAGGAGATGAATCTTCTATGGCTCCGCCGTCAGGATTGCGCGTCACCGATGTGCGTGTTGATGGTGACCAGGAGGTTTTGCAAGCTCAGGTAATTAATTATATGCTGTATTATTTTTTTTTCATAGTTTCTTTTTCTAATATAAAAAAAATATTTCTTAATTATCCGATTCTCAAACTATTGGCCCTTTGAAAATTTGAAATGATTTTGTGGATTTTAAATTTTATATGAACTTATAAAAAAATGTTTACCTTAATATATATTTTTTATAAAACAAACTAGGTATTGACACAAACATTTATACTCGGTCACATTCTTTAAAAAAATATGCACAAGTTAAACTATTATTCGCAATATATATTTTTTTTAATTAAGGTAGTTTTTTCTTCAAACATTGTTATCAATAAATAATTTTAAAATTAATTTTCTTTTGGTCATGTCTTAAATGTTAACAGAAATTCTCATGACTCATTAAGTTTAATTGTGCACTTTTTTTTTTGGGGGGGGTGGGGAAATTAGTGTGTTTTACTTTTCATAAATGGAAACAGAGAACTAATTTGAGGTCTTCGAACATACGCGTTTTTAATGTCTACTCATTTCTTGTTTCTTGTTTTGTCTTAGTTTAATTGTTCACTTTTTTTTTTGGGGGGGGGGGGAAATTAGTGTGTTTTACTTTTCATAAATGGAAACAGAGAACTAATTTGAGGTCTTCGAACATACGCGTTTTTAATGTCTACTCATTTCTTGTTTCTTGTGTTGTCTTGGCTGCCGAAGAAGGCGTTTAGTTGAAACTTCCCTTCAATGGTGCTGTATTTTTTTTCAAGCCGAAGCATATCTTGTTTCACAATTTATTTCCAGTAAAGAATATTAAGTTATTTAAATCCAGTCTATAAATAATAGATCCAAAAGTGTCCAACATTTTTATTCAGTATACTCGTAGTCTCTGCTTCAATTTTTTTTTTTCAGACTGTTGAGACGAAAAATATATACATACATGGCAGCAATTCACAGTACATAACCTCCAATGTGTTTATTGGCTCCGTTGCGGTTGGCGATGGAACAAAGTTGGTGTTGGTCAAACCACAGATTGTTCACCAGGTAAAAGAGAACAACTGCACCAACGAAGCGCAAATACTTCAACCGATTTCGCCAAAGTTTATATTAGATGATGCAGCACAGATGTTCTATCACACTTTTGACTACCCGTAAGTTACTGGAGTTGGAAACTTGGCGTTGATTATCGTTGCTACCCTATCACAACGGTTGTCACGTGCTTTTACGAGCCTTTCCGTTTTTAAACGGAACAATTGAGGTCGGCCTCAGTGTCTAGGGGTGCTAGCCTGGATACATGTGATACAAAAGGAAGTTAGGCCCTTTTAAATCTGATACAATATGCATCTACCACATCTACTAAAGAATTGAAAACAAAGAAGACGCCTTAAGTAGGAATACAAAACGCAAGGTTTTATAGGGAAAAAAAATTATTACTCCCTAACTAACGCACATATTCTGGTGAGGATCTGAGATAACTCTCGTACATGACGCTGGCTATTACTGGAATCCACTGCACTTTTACCTTTCCACCTAATTCACCGATCTTGCACATGCCTTCCATGATGGCACCAACTAAGTCCGTGATACCCGGCTCTTTTTCCCAAGATCTCAAGAGCAGATCTTGTGTTGAAGAAGACTACTACATCCTTGAGCTTTCGCTGCCGAATTTTGTATTTATTGTCCTGTTGGTAAGGAAAACGAGAATCTGTACAAAATGCATGTTTAGGCCTTCGGCACTTTTGGCAACTGTGGTAGTCGTGCCTTTTTTCGTTTGCTGTGGTCGCAGATTATAAACTGTTTCCTTGTAGGATAATTATTCCATCAATCGCGAAACTTTCTTTTCGTCTTTCAGATTGAGTTTTTCACATGTTACAATCCATTTTCCCGTTGTTTTTTGTTTTTGTTTTTGTTTGCATTACCGACTTCCTTACGAACCTCGGCTGACAATTTTTTTGTAAGCAGCACGAGCCGCTACCGTCTTCAATTGTCCAGCTTTGGTCCGTGGTTTTATTCTTTTCCCGTGAAGGCTACGCCAACCCTTTGTTCCAGAAAGATCGGAAGTTGCATTTCACCTGTGTTCTCGGAATTGCCTTTTTTGCCATTTTGAGGATGTCACTTACAAATTTATTGTAAGCAACATCGATGTTCTCATAGGTATCGGGAATCCCAGCTGATTCCACGATCGTGCTGTCCATTCATGCACGGAATCAAGTCCATTTGGCTTTGTCAGACAGCCAATGCCTCCTGGCAAAACTAAGGTTTAAAGTAACACCAGTTCTAGTGTTATGGGAGTAGGCCTAGGGTACTACCAATTTCAATTAGATCTTCATATTGGACTTTGGCCTCGAGCTCCACCGAGACCAGTGTTATGTCTGGACGAGACAGGGCACTGTTGCCCTTTTGGAGCAGTGTTGGTGCAGTGTTGAGACCTCCTCCAACAAACGCCCAAGGCGTTTTTGTCAGGGTAGCCCTTATACTTCATCTGTGCGTTGAAATCACCCGCTATAATGATGACAACCGACACCTTGCCTAGTGCTCCCAGTCGCACGTTTGCTTACAGTTGGACTGAGCCCTGTCACCGATCTGCAAGTGGGGAGGGTGTTTGAAATCCGCACGCTTAGATGATTGTCAGTTGTACTAGCTATATGTTTAAATAGCGGATAGGATTTTTTCTCCTACCTTCTCTCGGGGATAGCCCGCTGTAGCAAAACTCTCCTTCGCCTTGGGAGACGGACAATTATTGACGTAGTTTTTTCTTTAACTTCGTGCAGTCGAATCTGCCATACTAGTCCGCCCCGCCACGTAGTAGCTAAACCCGTGCGGACTCACTGAAAATTCCGAATCATTACAATAATTTGTAGATTACGTGGTTTAAGAAATCTGGTACCCATTTCTTTCCTTGGAGCAAATTTAAACAAACACAGTAGAGCCCCGTTGTATCAAATGCAGTATTGGAAAAACAGCAAGAAGCTTCTTAACAAACTTTTCACAGTGCAAAATAACGATTTGAAATTTTCTTATGTAGCCAATACTCTTGCTACGAGCAACTAAACTTTGGCTTCAGTTATACATCATTTTAAAGCTGAATTAACTCTGCTTAAAAAAAACGAACTGTCTCAGTATTCGAAAATGATTTTCGTCACCAGATTTGGAATATCATTCAAAATTTATGCTAAGTCACATATCCATATGTAGCATTTTGTTCATCCGTCAAGCTTGAAAAGGGCCATCTAGTCATCCGGTTAGGGGATGTTTGGGGTCACGGTGAAGTCGTAGGTGGCTTGATAGTCTGATCTGTGCTCTGAATAGTCTCTGACAGCGCGGGCAAAGGATAGTTGATGTAGTCGGTGGTGCAAGGTTGCCTTTTCGGGCTAGCCTGTGTGTCTCGGCTGTCGCTATCCCTCTGGTTTCATGAAATCGAGCCCCCTTCTTGACAGCTGATCTCCACTTGGCTCTGTCCTGGGCTGTCTGTACCCATTCAAAGAGGTTGATGCTGAAGGCCTTTATTGCCGCTTTCATGTTTTTGTATCAATGTTGCATATCCAAAACGGTGAGATTATACGTTCAACAAATTTATATTGTCTTCGCCTGTTTTTCATCCTCTTGGGGAAATTTTGCCTTGTGGCACACTTATCATCCTGTCGCACACATTAATGTTTCGCGGAACACAGATCGTGGAACACTGATCCATTGTACCCTTAAAACAATAAGCTAGTCACACCTTTCAAAAATGATTCAGTGTTAGAGTAAAATAATTCAATACCTTTAGTATAACTAACTTTTAACTAGAATATGACGTCACCAGTACAGGTGGAAAGCGTCTCATAATTTGTTGTTTTTTTAAAAATTATAATAAAGAAAAGAATAATGAACCACATAGGGAAATCTTTAACCATCCTATTGTATATAAATAATTTATATTTCATTTTGATATTGTTGTTGTTGTTACTTTTTCTCAAATAGAAATCCAATGCTAACTTTATGCATTAAAGTTAGGCCAGAAAGCTCCAAAATCTCATACACATTATATTTACGGATGGGTTCTGAGCCCACTGACCTTTCATATGATCTGAGGTAAATGAAACGGGTTTTTGTTCCAAATGTAAACACTATTTAAAAGATATGAAATGAGGTAAATAACACATGTTTTTAAGGTAGCGCTCTTCAAAAGATCAAGTGTTGCCATTCGTTTAAGATATTTTAATGATGCAGTCCTTAAAAAATAATTGAACTCGAAATATAAATGTAGTTTAACGTCATCTTATGATAATATTAAAGACTTTAATATACACTATTGTTGTTGAACCCGCTATAAATATAAATAGATCTTTGAATTATATTAATAATAGTCTATATCCATTTGCTAAAAGGGAACTGGTTAAAACATTTTCAATGGCAAGGCCAGCTGGAGTTAAAAGCGATTTCATATAACTGAGAATTTTTTTTTTAAAGTTTATGCATTAGATATTAACTTTACTTAATGTGCTTAAACGATTATACTTGTTAATTTTTCTCCAGGAGGAAATTGACAAGAGATATGATTGGTCCCTGTGGGGAATTTTGTATTCCACCTAGAACATTTGCAACATCTGGGAGAATGTATATTGGGTTAAAACCAGAGCTCGGTAATTTATTCAAGCAAATTCATAAGCAATTTGGACACATTTCTTATATTAACAAAAGCTGAGTTATCTTTATATACAAAATGCTTACAGACTAAACAAAAATATTATTAATTTTCGTTAAAACATCTGAACAAATGATCTTAATATAAAATAATGAATATTTTCCTGATGTAGTTAATTACAGTTATCGGGATAATACATTTTCAATGCTAACCTTTGGTTTGAGTTAAGTCAAAGTTTCAATTTACTTTATAAATAATATGTTTCTAATTATTGCTTCAGATGAAACAGAAAAACCAAAATCAAGCTCTGGTATTCAAAAGCGGGATGGTAAGAAAAGATTCATTTAAACTTCCATTAGTTGGTCAGACTAAAAAAAAACACAACTTTTTTTTGGAGCTAATTATAAATGATGTTTTATTTTATGGATTTAATCAATTTTCTCCATCAGGCTTAACTATTGATAATTTTGTGAACATTAGGTTGTATTAGAGAATTTTAAGTATATAAAAAGTCAGATTGTTAATTTTTTTTTGAGGTTAACTAAAAAGCCCTTTTTCATATCTCTTAGCGTTGTATGACAATCTGGATTCGATGTACTTATTTGGCGTGACTACTCTAGCATGTTTTGCCTGGGACACTACAATTAATGATTGGAATCCTGCCCTCTGTAAGGTATGGTGAAAATAAAGAGTGGGGTTAACAAGCTTACCATAAATTTGTGTCTTTGTTTCTCTTTGTCTGGACCACTTGCTACTACACACCAGTGCCATGAAAGTTTTTAACAGAATGGCAAAACCATTTGTTTATATCACGAGTTATTAAACCTAAAACTTCTTCTATTTGGACTTGAATATAATAAAACTGATCAGGGAAAAAGATTGAGACAAAGCATTGGAAAACAATTTAACTAAAGCTTGAAACACAAAAACCATTTGACCGTGCCCTTTGTATTTTAAGAGCATACGAATAGGACTGAATTAAAACGGAATTTATAACAGAGATTCTAATAATTTTGTTTGATGTTTTAAAAATTGTATTAATTTAAATAAAAGTTTTAAGCCTTGCAAAAATGGACAGCCTGAAATTGTCCATGTTGACTTATTTTTATTTGCTATACGATTTCTTTGCTTCAGATGACCAACATAAATGGTAGCATTATCTGCACCTGTCAGGATGGAAGAGAAATAGTCAATGGTTTATCATTTAGCTTTAAACCAAGCACTATCCATTTTGGGACAGTTTTCAGCAAGTTTGATATCCAAGGGCAAGGCCTCATCATTGGAGTGTTGCTAGCCCTCTACTTTATTTTCCTATTGACTGCATTATGGGCTCACTATATGGACAAAAAATCAGTGTTTCAGGTAATAAACTTCTACCCTTATATTATTTGAAAAGCATTTAACCATATAATATAAGATTAATTTTAAAAAATATTCATATGCAATAAAATAGGTACGAAATATTAATTATAAAGGGATATAAAATCAAATTCTTTAGCTACCCACGGCAGATTATCACGTCATTACTGGTATCATTGTTCAATAGCAATTGTTCAATAGCTAATTATGTTTTCATAACACAACCATACCCTGTAATTATGATAAAATGCAGTTTTAAAATTAGCAAACTGTGGGGAAATTCGGTGGCATTCGTTTGTAGTCTAAGTATGATAAGTCAGTTATGTATCAATCAATCTTTCATGATAAAAAAGATCCTTGAAAAATTCTAACCTTATTTTGATGAAAATTGAGGAAGTGGGATAAAAGAGCTGGTTTTTTGTGCCCTACAATTTAATTGTTATGCTGGGAATGGGGACGGAAAACATTAAAAACTAAAGAAGTTTTTGTCATTGAGAAATCAAATGTCTTGAAGATATTTGCTGGAATTTAGTACAAAATAAATTAATGCGTTTTAAGAAGTGTATTTCTTCAAATAAAAACTAAACTAATGTGGAGTTTCACTAATGTGGAGTTTCACTAATGTGGAGTTTCACTAATGTGGAGTTTCACTAATGTGGAGTTTCACTAATGTGGAGTTTCACTAATGTGGAGTTTCACTAATGTGGAGTTTCACTAATGTGGAGTTTCACTAATGTGGAGTTTCACTAATGTGGAGTTTCACTAATGTGGAGTTTCACTAATGTGGAGTTTCATTAATGTGGAGTTTCACTAATGTGGAGTTTTAATAACAAAATTATTATATTTCAGTGGGGCGTTTTTCCCCTGTCTGACAACTATGCTGATGACAATTATTTCTACCTCCTAACCGTCCACACTGGCCTACGGCACACAGCAGGCACAAAGTCTAAAGTTAGTTTCTGTTTGTCTGGGGAGCAAGATGAGACCGGGGTCAGAATTTTATCAGATGGTGTAAGAGAGGTAAGCTGGCTATAAGGTTATTCTTTGAATCACTTGTGGAATGTGTGGCAAGCCGATCACCTTTTAATGGTTCTCTTAGAGGACATAGTTAATAAAGCAAGTTATAAACCCTATGGACGTACAATTTAAAACATTTATAAACAATACTTCAAATTTATATAGTTGCTCAAATATAAGGATTATATCTTGCGTCGTTCGTAAGTATCAATTTTTAACCCTGACCACCGAACAAAAATCATTTTCCATCGTAAACAACAGGGATTTCCAGCTGGCAGTGAATATCATTTCGTGATGGCATGCCCCATGAACATGGGGGAGCTCCAATGTCTGAGAATCTGGCATGACAACTCAGGCAAAGGAACTAGTGCATCATGGTTCTTGGATCGGGTTGATGTGATGGATATACAAACTGGGAGAGTGTGAGTCCGTCATCCTTATATTGGATCGATAACTAATGAAGTTAACTTATAAAAAAACAATGCTACTCGGTAAATTAATTTTTTTAAATTAGAAAAATACTTATTCAAAATTAAATTTAAAATCAATGATGGGGCAGGGGATTTCCACCCCTAGTTAGTGAAGTTATCTTCTTGTAAGTATAGTAAATAACTCTGTGAAGTAAAATTAATAATAATAATGGCTTCAATGAGCATTGCTTTTTTTCTGATTATACATGCCTCTGGTCCACTAGTCCAACTGGTAGACTACATATGCAAATATATCAGACAGCAGATATACTGTGGCTTTTTGTTTATATTTATCAATAAGGTTCTTAGTCCCAGATCTTTCGGTAAGATGACACCAAACAGAAAGTGCAAACAAATATTTAATGAATCTTTCCTAATACTCAGGCCTGAATTCTGGGGAAAATGGGTTTGGTTTATATCGCCTGAATCCGTCTGACACAGTCAAAAATAATTAGTTGTTCTAAAATGATCAAAATTAGAAGAAAAAAAAATGTTTTCCGTCAAAGTGTTTTAACAAGCTGCACATGTTTACGGCATAGTTCTTTAGATCTTGATTTCAAATAATTTACCTGGTAAATAGTTAAGTTTCAAAAATATTTTTTTTTAAATGTGATGAGTTCTTTTACATGATATATTTGCATGATATATGGGATCTGATACATTTTTATAATACCAATTTTAACTCCAGGTCCATATTTAAATTCTAACTAAAATATAAGACGACAAAAACACTGGTATTTCCTTATTACATTTAGTTTAAAAATCAAAACCAAAACGAATATATTAACTAGTCATTTCTAAAGCTACCTGAAGAACAAAGCAATGCAGACCAAAAAAAAAAAATTAATTAGTAAAACCAGCAAAACTACTACATGCCAATTATTGAAATGACATTTATTTACTATATTCTTTCATTAAAGTTCAAAGAAATAATATGTTTAACCGGAAATTCATTCACTAAATGGCATTAAGTATGATCTATTGATAATGTGTCAATAATTTTAAATGCTTCAATGCATTCTTCAGTTCCTACTTTGTCTGTGAGGAATGGCTGACACCAGAAAACAACTGTCTGGATAAAATGATTGAAGCATCTGGAACTGAAGGTCTGGACACTTTGAAGAGCCAGTTTTTCTCAAACACGAAAAAGCACATTACAGATGATCATTTGTGGGTCTCACTTTTCATTCGACCACAAAGAAGCCGTTTCAGGTGGCTGATTTTTAGATTTACCTTTATGTACCAGTGACTTTCTTCTTTCTTTTATTTATTAATACCACAAAAAATAAGGTGAATTATCTACCCCAACCACAAATAGAGATTTTAAAGCTTTAAAGAAACATTTGATATTACAATAGTTTTCTTTAAAAAGAATAGAGGTGATAGAAATCTGTTTTTCCTGGCTTATACCTTAGGGCAACAGCAAAACTGAAAATATTTTGAGAGCATTCTTCTTCATTTCTAGTCGATAACACCTAACAAATGAAACACTAAGGGTAAAGTTTGCTTAAGACGAACATGTTTGCAATTCTGTTTTCCTTTTCATGTATTGTTTTCCTGCGTCCAGCCGTGTTGAAAGAGTTGGGTGCTGCCTTGCATTCTTTCTTTTGGCCATGATCACAAGTGCAATGTTTTATGTTGGAGCCCCTGATGTCAACAGGAAAATAACTAAGGTTGATTTTGAAATGGGACCTATCAGACTTAAATACCAACAGGTAGATTTTTTTTTCAACATGTACGCTCTTGCCCAAGTTGAAAAAAAAAAAAAAAAAAAAAAAAAAAAAAAATTTTTTATTAAGAGCTTGCCATTACCTACATCTTCTTATCGGAATTGTATATCAAAACAAAAGTGGTTTAATATAATGAGATTAAGAATTTCCAATAGTAATCTTATTTTATTATTTATTTTTTAAAGCTTCAATGCCCTGTGGAATGAAAAATAATGTTCATGCATCCGCAGCTGTACTTCTCATTTGTGTCCGCGATCATAACAGCCATACCTCTGGTACTAATAATGATGATCTTCAGAAAAGCCAAGACCAGAACTGAAACAGAAGTGTGCAAGAACGTTAAACCTGGACAAGTTAAAAAAAACTGTAAGACATGATCAACACGTTTTTTGTTTTTTTTTTATTTTTATTTTAGGAATAGCTTAGACGCCAGAGTTTCATGTATTCTCTCATTTAAAAGTCTACGATTTCATGAGAATGACATTAGCTTTAAAGATTAGTTTATTATAAGCAAAAGCTTATAAGCAGATTAATGAGACACAAAAATATTAAATATTTATCAATAAAAAATTATATGTTAATCTCTCATATTTAGAATAAAATGCACATTGAAAAGTTTCAGCAAATGCCTTCATCAATACAACAAATTCAACGAAAAACATTTAATAAAATTTAAAAATTAATTTATATAAAATATCTATATCCTACATAGCCTAAAAATAAAAACACAATTCCTTATCGAAAAAAAGTTCAGAGAACGTAAATAATTGAATGGAAGTATAATATAAAAACCAAACAGGGAAATGACATTGCAGCTATGAAAAGATGTGAATTTTGTTTATGCCGTTAGGAGTCAAAATACACAAGCTTTTTTCATTTGTGTTCCAAATAAATTCTATCACGTGTATTACTCACTTCAAATATACCAATAATTTCAAGATCTAATTATGGTTAGTACTATTTAAATGTTACGAAACGGTACAAAGGGCTTTCTTATTGATGTTGCACAGGAGCTTTCTAAAATGGTCTCCGAGGCCTGTATCCCGAACGTAAGATTTTCCGCATTCTTTATAAAGGATGGTATTAATCACCTTGCGACTTGTGCAAGTCAAAAGATTTTTGATTCAGAATATTTCCTGAGGGAAAGTTATCTTATCAAATTTGATCACTTAAGAACATGTGTTAGAATGTTTGCAGAATTTGGTACCAAAATGTGCTTTAATTTTAGGGAAATGGCTTCCGACAAACTTGTCCCTAAGGCTAATAACTTTCTGAAAGCGAAAGGAGGTGGGTTTTTTTAACCTGTTTTTAAGAACTTTATAACATACCATGAGGCTGTGGGGATGAAAATACATAATGAATCTGAAAGATTAGTAGTGTTTCCTTGACACGATTTTTCTGGAGGCTATAGTTTGCAAATAGGGAGAAATAAATTGCGCTTTATCTGCATGTCATTAAAATAAACGGTTTGTTTCTGACAGGCTCTAATAGTAAAGTTACTCCATCCGAAACATCACATGTGAAAAAAAACAAAAAACCTGCATGTTGCAGTCCACCTTGGATGCACAAACTAGAGGCACAGCTGAATGCATTGGACAAAATAATGATGCTGAAACCAGGTGAAGGATATGTCAAATTGATATATTTTCATTGGAATTTTCCCAAAGCCTTTTTAAACAAATTATATAGTCATTCAGTGGAATAAGTTAATTAAGAAAAAACACTTTATTTCAGCACCCCCATATCATAAACCTAAATACACAAAATATCTGCATGATAGTGCCACTAAATATTTTTTTTTCCTACAGGTGTTGATGATATGAAAGATACATGGCCAAGGGCCCTGCGATATTTAGCCTGGATCATCATTGTAGCATCAGTTGTTGTCAGCAGTTTTTTTGTCATTCTCTACACCATGGAGTGGGGCAGAGATGTGTCCGAGGAATGGCTGTCTACTTTCTTCTTGGCCTTTGTACAGTCTCTGTGTCTCGTTGATCCATTTAAGGTAACTGATTTCAGCCATCATATCATTGCAACCCTGGTGAAAACAGTCATTTTAGGGCTTGACATAATTTTCTTTCTGATATTCTCCAAGCATGGAAAATTAAAATGCTCTTTTCTTTTATCTTTATCGCAAAATATTTGTATAATCTAGAAGGGTGAAGTTAGGAAAATTTTACGGTAAAAAAAAAAAAGAGTGGGGTGGGGGGGTAAAAAAAAATTTTTGATCATTAAAAAATTCAAAATTGGAAAACCTTTTCATTTTCAAAGTATGTCAACTTTTCCCAACCACAAAATTGTTTCATCAGGTACTGATGTTTTCTGTGTTTCTTTCCATCTTCATGAGAAAATCCAATGTAAGAGGAGCGGATCAGCTAAATCTTAAGCTCATTTATGATGTTAACAAGGAATATGGTATCAAGGAAAGTAAGTTCAAATGGAAGAACCGGTGTCAAGTCAAAGACTGTTGACATAAAATAATTAAACTGTTAACATTAAATAATGAATCTAGCGTCAAAAAAAAAATTGTTTGTCTTACATTTATAGGGTAGACAAATCGTATATATTTTTTGTAATGGTTTGTATTCATTTCTTCTTCTTATTATTATTATTATTGTGCATAACTCTGCATTCTTTACACGCAGTACCAAATCCACCAAGGATATATTCATCCTTTACATCCCCACTGTCCGAAGCTGAGCTGAAGGCGGCCACACTCAAGCGTAAAATTCACATAATGATAAGAGGCACGCTGAAGGAATTTGTCATTCATTGTGTTTACCTACTCATTGTCAGCAGCATCTGTTACTCCAATCGCAGTAGCAATGATTACCACATGTTTAAGTTAGTCAAAAACAAACTTATTGGGGATACAAAATCTGGATTTTTAAGTGTGAGTATTTGCTTTTTGGGAAGTGTTTTTAAAAGCCAGGAGGCCAGACAGAGGTCTGTCAAATTATTTGTTTTTCTCAAAGGTTTCACTAAATAAACATAGCTTTCATATTCCTCCAAAGCTGCATTTACCCATGTAATATTTAACTCAGCCAAAACAAATTAAATGTATTAACTGTACACTGGTGATTCACCAGTTGTAGCTGAGACAACTAAAATTGGTCAAGAATATTTTCTAATGTTTTTTAACAAAGAAAAATGTAAAGATCAGCTTAAACGATTTGACCTCTTTTTTAAATCTTTTATACTAACATCACTTTTGTTTGTGGCTGGCTGGCAAAAATCTTGGGACCGCTAATTCACCCCCTTCCCGTCCACCTATCGGGTGGAAACTTCGCACATTGACTCATTGCCAATGACAAAAATTTCTGTCAAATTTTCATCCCCACCCCCCAACAATAGCCCCCCCCCCAAAAAAACTGGCAAAAATCTTGGGACCGCTAATTCCCCCCCTTCCCGTCCACCTATCGGGTGGAAACTTCGCACATTGACCCATTGCCAATGACAAAAATTTCTGTCAAATTTTCACCCCCCCCCCCCAACAATACCCCCCCCCCCAAAAAAAAAACAACAAAAAAAAACAAAAAAAAAAACATTTTTTGTTTTTTTCAAAGGGAAGTTGAAGGAACTATCATTTCAAAAAATAAAATACCCATTAACTGCGCCAATTGAGATTCTTTCAAAACAAATATCGCCACTGCGTTTGGTGCTTAATATTTTTATTTTTTTAAATAGTTGGTTAAATAAATCTGCAGTGTAAAAGCGGGTGGGTCATTTAATAGTAAAATAAAACAAAATACGTATAAAGGATTTACACCAAAAACAAAATTGCTTTTAGGCATTGTTTCAAATACGGTCACTTGTAACAACGCCCGCCTTAGGTCAACTTTCGCAGTATGCGAAGCAACCGTTCGGCGCCAACTTCCCTGTCCTTGTACGGCTTTACATTTTTTCCGATGACGTGTTATGGTGCTATACATGCAGCTAACCATACGCATTTTAACATGCACAATAGTTTAGACTGTTTAGCTATATCTACGGTGTTTTATTCCATTTCCACACCACCTTATGGGTCGTCCAATATCTGCCCCTTTTAGGTAGGAATCATCGCGCGTTTTTGTTAAGGGAGTATCCCCCAGGCGCCCCGATGGCCACGGCGCCCCGTGCGAGGGCACAGGTGGCACACTCTAAAGGCCGGCGTTTATTGTAAATAATTGATTTTAGAAATATTTGAGTTAGATCATTAATTTGAATTTTTAAAAAAATTATAAGTTTATCTTTAAATGTCGCCTGCAGGTAAATTCATCGAGTCTCTACTTTGATTGGATCAAAGATAATCTCACCACATGGCTGTTTCCTGAAACGATGGACATCAATAGAACCCTTTTTCCGGATAAAGCATTGTATACATCATCATATGACATATATCGGCTTGGAAGCACAAGAATAAGACAACTACGCATGAATATTGGTTAGGAAATATTCTAATTCAGTATCTAGTTCAAGATACTTATTATACATTTAATGAATTTAGATTTCTTATTCTCAGGTTACATGTTCTTAAATTAGAATGGATAAATAAATAGGGGAACACTAAAAAAGTACAGGCTGGGCCAATAAAAGTGAGAACATCTCGTAGCATATGAGTTATTTCAAAATATAATTTAATTAATTATAATTCTTAATGGAATTTTTTTTTTTTTTTTGCAAAATATTTAGCTAATCAGAAATCATTTTCAATGTGTCCTCCTTGCTTCTCAGCGACTTTAAGCTAGTATGGGTATAGTTAAACTAAATTTGATTTGATTAAATCACATTTTACGAGATGTTCTCACTTTTATTGGCCCACCCTGTATGTCAATCTCAATGTCAATGAAAATCACATTATAACACTTACAAAAATTAATAACTATTCAATCCAAAATAAAATTAATTGAATATTATATATTCTTCACATCTGCATGTACTCACATATTAGTAGCAAAGTTGTTTTTTAAAATGATATTTTAAGCATCAATTTATGCTAGACTCATCTAAAGGACAGGAATGTTAACATAATAAATAGCCCACCTTACTCTCAAGGATATAAGAAACACAAAAAAGACATGTGATTACGTGGTAAGGAAAAATAAAATTACACAAAACAACATAAACATCAAAAAAACTGTTGCTTCTTATTTTTCTCGCCGAAGAAAGCTTTTTGTCATGTATTTCTTTTTTTTTTTTTTTTTTTTTTTTTTTTTTTTTTTTTTTGGGCTGTTTTTTTTTTTTTTTTTTTTTTCTTTTTTTTTTGTTTGTTTGGGCTGTCTTATTTTAAGTCTTCCTTGACCCTCATGTTTTAGATCGTTATCATTGGCGGCTACATTAACCCTCATTCTATTATCAGTACACCAGGAAATGATGTACCTATTAATGAATGAAGGGAGTCATTTAGAAGCCGACCGCATTTCGGTTAGGATTTGGGGAGGAACTTATGATCATTAAACGTAGTTTCGGTTTTTTGCCAAAAGTGATTTAGGCTTTCGGTCGTCTACCAGAAGTCACATAGATGGTCAGAAATACAATCTCTTATATATATATTGTATGTATGGCATCTTTCCGTCTGCGGGAGACAATAGATTATCTTTATTGCTTGCAGCTCTTGGTGTGCCTGGTGAGACCAATCCTCGAATGGCAGTCTCTGTTGCATTTCCCACACACGCATGCGGTGGAGCAGTATTTACCGGCCTTCCTCCTCGCTCTTTTTGCAGCTGTTTCCGCCCTGTTTTGCTCCTCGGCATGTCGTGATCCTGCCTTCACGATGCCCCGCCATGAGGATTGATCCTCTGCCAGCTCCTCCCAGTTTGAGATGTCGATGTTAGCCGACTTCATGCCTCTTTTTGCATATGTCTAAGTATCTCAGACGAGGCCGTTCAACTGACCTTTTCCCTGTCGCCAGCTCGCTGTATAGCACGTCCTTTGTTAAGCGACCAGGTTGCATTCGCTTGACGTGTCCAAGCCAGCGGAGGCGTCTTTGGATTAACATGTATATTTACTTCTTGTGTGGCCTGCCTCCTCTTGAAAACCACCCAACTCCACATGTTTTATATCAATAGTACCAAGTAAAAGAAAGGCTTTCACGCACCAAGCGTCATGTGTGACAGTGTATCTCAATTAATTTTTTTTTTCTTTAGGGTGAGGTGACTATTATATTAATCAAAAAACGAGCCCCAGTTATGGGGTAAAACTGTCTGTAGGAATTTCTGTAGTATCATTGTTTACAGAGTGGCTGACACGTAGGGTGTGGGACTGTCGGTAGGACTATTGTTTAAAGACCGACATATTTTATAGAAAATGAGAAGTTAACTCTTTTCTTTTTTTTTTTTTTTTGGAACACCTGGACCATACGGTGTATTTTATCGAAATACCCAGACCCGGTGTAAAAAACTGCACCTGGTTAAACCCTAGAATTCATTTTTGCTCGACGTCTTGCTGTAATGGTATGATTATATGGCTACCCGGTATTCATCTCGGAACACCGCTAACAGCTGTATGATGAACTATTTGACCAATATTTTCAAAATTAAAATTATATTTTGGCTGAAAATCACTTTTAGTAGTTTCTTTAGGACTCTACGAATCTTTAGGCTAAAAATCCGAATCAGCATTTGGTAGACATAAAGATGTTGAATATTTAACTATACATTTTAAAGGATAAGAAAATTTTGATCTTTTGAGGGGATTTTTTTTTATTGATGAGCAAGTCTTTAGAACATGGTCATTCATTAGAATGCTTATGTGATGATCTGAGTGCTTTCTTTGCAAGTAAGTTTGGCAAAAGGGATTTTCAAGATGATAAAGCCAATGTATAGAGATTAATTGGTATTTTTTGTAAGGTTGAGATAACATGAAGCAGATACTTATTACTCAGTGGGTATATACATTTAATTTAACTCTTATTTATTACTTATTTTGTATGTATCTTCTATTCAAAATATTATTTTTTTTAATTATAAACAAGATAAATTTTAACCAAATATTTTTTTCCACAGATGACTGCTTATTTAAAGGCATTGAGTTAAAGAAGTGTGTCCTTGGATACGACATCACAAAGGAAGAGAACAGAGATTATTGTTTGGGTTGGTTACCTCCACCTTGTTCAGAAAATTCGTCAAAGATAAGTTTCTCTATACCTGCATGGAAGTACAGTCCAGTTATGATGATTGGTGGCCTTCCTATAGCTGGTGAATACAATGTATATGGTGGAGGAGGGTATCGGACTAACTTAGAGATTAACCAAAAGGTTTGTTGGTTGCTGAGCCACGCAGTTAATTTATATAATACTACTGTACTTGTAATTAGGGATTTGGAGAAAATTATAAATAATTTATCTGTTAAGTTAAATAAAAAAAAAATAATTTTAATACAGTAAAGTTTTTATTTACAGACGCACTGAAAACTCAAAACCAAAGTTTTCAAGGAACTCGATATGACTGGAAAGCTGAATTTTTGTCATATGGCAGCAGAACTTATAATTTTATCTTTGGTTCTAAATAATACCATAAGGATTTAATAGGCGCATGTCGAAACTCCGAAGGATGCTAAATTATTTTCGGCAAAAACTTCGTCTACCCAAGTTACCAAATTTTTTATAACACCAGACTTGAAAAGAGGCGAATCTGCGCTGAAGGCTTATTGGCATTTCACGCTGTCCAGCATCATCGCAGCTATAAATTAATGGATTGCAATTGTCCCTTATTAAAAACAAGTTTACCAGTTTCTGATATGGCACGCAAAATCAGTCAGTGTAATGTAATGTAATGTATACTGGATATAAGTTTATAATTCTAATTACTTACAATAAGAATAATATTTTATGTAGTTTAACTATTCTTTTATATGTACAACTCTTACATTAGTGTAGTCCTATGATCCGGCTACGGCAGGCCTGCACAACGTGCGGCCCGCCAGCATCCACTTTGCGGCCCGTGAAGTAACGAAATATTCTTTATTATTATTATTATTTTCTAAATCGCTCCCACCCACTGTCCTATTTTCTTTCGGCTCGCACAAGTTTTTCATTAAGTATTACGGCCCGCCTTCCATTTTGAGTTTTGCATGCCTGGACTAAGAGTTTGGTAATCGGATTGATAAAAATTGTGAGTGTGCTCTTTTTTTTATCAGAGGACTTCTGGAAACCCTGGAAGCCGTAGAAATAGAGATTCCTGTACATCAATTAATTTAGTAAAAATTCTTACGTCTTTAAAAAGTTATTGAATTTACCGCCAACTTATAAACTAATTTTTTCCCAAGACCGGAAGGAATAAATGTCATGGGGATAAACTCTTTTGTTAGTCAATGCGTTGTGCCAATACTAAGTGTTAATTGGAGGTTTCCATTTGGAGCAAAATAATAAATTAAATACAAAAGGAATATAATAGAGCCTACAATTCTCACTAATTTTCGCACTAAATAACTTATACAATGAAAAAGATCACAACCACTTAAGATTTTAGCACGCCCAACACGTCAAATTGAACCATGTCATTTTTATAAACAGGAATTAAGGCCTGCGTTTTAGCTTGCCCGTAATAAAAGAGAACCCAGTCTTTGCTGGACAATATGAATTGTTTCAGCTTGGCAAATTGACTTTCGTGATTTTTAGTCAGTAAATGTTGCCTGAATTGATCTGTTAAAAAATTGTTGCCTTTCTTACATAAAATTAGTCAATGTTGAATTCTGTCATCCTAGGTGGTAAACAAAGTCGTTGATGAACTGAGACACAATTTTTGGATAGACAGGCAGACCAGAGCGGTCTTTATAGAATTCACAGTCTATTGCCCTAACCTCAACCGATTTGCTTATGTCATCCTTCTGATAGAGTTTCTAGACACTGGGGGATTATTGCCCTTTTATTCGTAAGTCTTGTGGCGTTTTGGGCCTCCTTTTCAACTGCGTTTTTATTTGGTTTGTATTTTAACAATATTTATTAATTTAAAAAAAGAAATATTTCCATCACAGACTGGCATTAAAAAAGACACAATTATTAGCAAACTTTCCATTGTCTAACCCAGTGGTTATCACCCTTCCTAATACTGTGACCCCTTAATACAGTTCCTAATGTTTTGGTGACTCCCCCAACTATGAAGTTATTTTCGTTGCTACGTCATAAATATGTGTTTTCCGATTGTCTTGTATAAGGGTTGTTCAACCTTCAAAGATATCGCAACCCACAGGTTGAGAAACGCTGATTTAACCATTAATTTAAATAAAATAATCCATTTATCAAAGGCCTAACTGTGTTTGGTGGTGTTTAATTTAAATTGATGATTTACGATGAATGTGTTGATTTTTTTATTATACCGGTACCTTATGGCATAAATGTAAATTAAATTATTCTTGACTTCATAATATCACTTTTTATTTATTGGTTAGCTTCTCAAAATTTTTTTTTTTAGCATTTATCCTTTCACTGTACACGACCCTCCGGGCATACTTGGCAAGTACTTACAAGCCTGCGAGTTGTTGGGTATAGTTTTTACTGTGGTTGGAGTCCTGTATCTTGTCTTTGCTTTTGGAAAGAAAAAGATGGGGGCACTGAAAGACTTCTGGATCATGCTTGACCTTGCTGCCACCATCTTAGCGATTTGTGCAGCGTCGATGTACTTGTAAGTAAACACAGTTCAAAGAATCATCATTACCGATGAAAGTAAATAAAAGAACAAGTTATGTGAAAGCTTTTAATAGAAAGATGGGCAATAAAGGAAGAATGTTTCAGCTAAGAGAATTCCTCAGCAGACAGGACAAATGAAAATGTGACAAGAAAAAGAAAATATAAATAGTTTATCTCCTTACTGCCGAGGAAGGCTCTTAGCCGGATTGTTCTTCTTTTATCTCCTGTCTTTCTATTTCAAGTCTCCACATACCTTATTCGTTTATTTCCTTCACACAGCTTGAACAAAGTCCTACATTTACTATCTTTTAATAAAAGAAAAATAGAAACTTGCCCTTCGCTCATATAAGCCTACCAATTACCAGTGACCAGTGTTTCTTAACACGTGGAGGGAACAACTTTGAACCAAATAAAAAAAAAAATTAAATATTTTATTTTTAATAGCTAATATTCTAAATTATTTTGTTTTTTAAAATCTTTTTTTTTTCAAGGTTGCCATTTAAATGTTTGTTAACTCAATGATAAGATGACTGGAACTATTCACAGACATCCTATCAGAATTTAGACATCTCTCCCATTTCATACAGGGACTAATACCACGCTCATTTCTCTTGATTAGCCTGCGTCTCAGCTACACCAAAGCTGCCCTTGCTAAGATAAAGGCAGACAGAAACCAGTTTATAAACTTTTATCAGGTGGTTGTATGGGACTCTTCTCTCATGATATGTCTTGGTCTGCTGATCGCTATTGGTTGTCTGAGACTGCTCAAGTTGGCTGGCTACTCTGAGAAAACTATGAAAGTAAGCAAGATTACAGAAATGGTACTAATATGATATAGACCATCTTTAAAAATTATATTTGACAGAAAGGGTATAATTCAAAAATTGAAGGGAAACAGTGCGTTTTCAACAACAGTAACATGTTTTAATTAATAGCGTCTATCTCTTTCCATTTAACGATATTTGTCACAAAGAAATTTTGTATAGAAGTTATTCATGAAAAAATATGATCAATATCATAAAGAATTTTTTTGTGAATCATTATAATTATGGGGAATTAAAAAAATATGAACAATATTATTTAGTTGTTGGTTTTTCTTAATCATCATAATTATATGGAATTTAAAAAATATGAATTAAAGTATTTTAAAACTTAAGTTTTCATTAACTCAACGCTTCTAGAAAAATATTATTTTATTGAATTTTTTTTTTTACCAGGTGTACCATGTCCTTTGTTTAGGAGTAAAACTCCTGCCAAGCTTCTTCATGTTCATCTTCCTAATTCTGGTTAGCTTTGCCTTTATGGGTTGGATTTTATTTGGTCGCACCAGTAAATATTTCAAGAATTTCTGGGCATGCCTTGAAACCCTGTTTACTGGTTTGCTTGGACATTCAAGTTTCAAGGTGAGTTTTAATTTGGAAGTAATTATTCACTATTATTGCCAGCTATTGCTAAAAAAAAAGTTATACATTTATTATTTTTATTTCAAGATGATCAAAATCAAAGTTATTGACTTTGCATGTCTAAATAAAATAAAATTAATATTTTTCTTAATTTCCTTGTGTATATATTACGATTTGATTTAGAAGCTATTCATATTTTTTATAAAAATATATATAAATTCATATAATAAATATATACATATATATTATATATATTTATTTATAAAGCTATATATCATATATTTATAAATATATATATTATATATATAAATGGTTAAGTTTGTATGGTGACTAAATAAATATGTGAAAAGGGGAAAAGTTTTTTTTTTATTCGGATTTGCAAAATAAAGTGTTTTGTTTTTCGTTTTTGTAAAATAGCTTTGACCTTATGCATAGTTTTAATTATTTGACATGATATATGCCGTGATCAAATTTCCTATTTCATTTCAGTTTAATTAAAATCTTTAAATCCGAACAATCATGAAGATGATTGCTTATAGGGAGCACTATTCTGCTTTAGATTGACAAATTCTGTCTCATAAAAGAAAAACTTTGGCCTTTTTACACAGTTGGTAGTTTATGTGAATTGGTTTGAGAAATGCAAACTTTACTGCAAGAAATTCATGCTCCCTTATCAATTTTGTAATCTTGAAAGGTTGCATGATTTATTATTATTAATCATGTTAATTTAATGATTTTATTTCTTTATTATTATTTTTTTTATGCAGGAAACTAATGTCCCTGAATCGGATCAGTGGATCAGCTCAGTCTATTTCTGCGGCTTTGTTGGTATTGTTGTTATTTTCCTGACAAACTTTTTCCTTGCCGTCTTGATGGACTTACTGAATGCGTCCAGTGACAGGGCTTGCAAGGGTGATGAAACCAAAGTTTTTATAATGTTATGGGACCTTTTCTTGAAGTCAATGGGAAGTAAAAGAGATCCATCAGACAGACTAAAGGATGCGGAAACAGGTGTGATTAAGAATTATTTTGAATTATATTTGTTTGATAGAAGTAATTTTTAAATGTTGCTCAAGTCTGAAATCAAATTTTAAGGACTTACAAAAAAACATACATTTAACATTACAATTTTTAAGATAGGTTAAAATTCAATTTTGAATTTGGATTTAATGATCACAAATTCAATATCTTCTAATCAATAAACTTTAGCTGAGAACACAACAAGGTGTGAATTCAGTAATGCTTCATGTTTATGGTGTGGTGATGATATAGAAATTTCGCCATACTTGGCCCATTACCCAGATAATAATAGATTTTTGACATCTTTTCACTCATTGTATAATTATAAAAAATTAGTAGTGACCTTTTTTTAAATTCTTTGGCCAGGGCAGTTTTTTTCCTCTTTTAGGTATAAATTTTGTTTAAAATGATTTTTTTTTCCATTATATTTTTCTATAAAGAACTTCTGAGAACAACAAAAATAAAGGAGGAGGTATTAAATTCTAACCCTGTTGATTACGCAACAAGACTCAGTAAAAACCTTGCAGTGTAAGTCTTAGTGACTGAGTTGGTTGAGGTTTTTTGTACATATTATTTAAAATTAAGTTAATCAAAACTCAAACTACAATATGAAAATAAATTCTCCATTATTAATGAAGCTAATTGTAAATTGGACAAATATTTTTCATAGATTTATCATTTTCTTTTTATATTTTAAAATAATATTTCAGGTTCTATATTTTTCTCCATGTCAGAATGTAATTTCCTTTTGAAATTCAAAATAATTTAATAATTATCATGGATGATAAGTAATTTAGATCTTAGCAAATTTTTATTACTTTTTTTTCACTTTAAAAAAGCTTTACGAAATTTACAGTTATAGATTAGTGATAATTATGCGTTTTGGCCATTGTTAACATTAACATTTAAATTTTCAGGCTATGTCAGGATCGTGAAGCTGACCTGATGCAATGGGTTGAAACGAGTGAGAGAAAACAGAGAAGCGCTGAAGGTTTCAGTGACATCAGCTTTCCAAAACTACAGAAAGCACCTTATTCTTTTGAGAAATCAAATGAACCAGGCTTAAAATTGTATAAATTTTAAAAATTTAATCAGCAACTGAAATTGTCACAAAGCACACAAAAACAAATAATTTAATTTTATTGTAATTATAATATTTAGAGTTTTTATATTAGACTGTCTACCTTTATAAATTCATTGTAATCAACTAACGAGCTGATGAATTCAGTAATTTGACTTGAGTGTTAACTGTCAATTTACGTGTTTGTCACAATAAATTATTGTTCTTTCCCAGATCAACAAAGCTACTTATTTATCCTAATCTGTCTTTTTTTTTTGTTTGTGAATTCCTTTAATGATTTTTTTTTTTAGGCTGATAGTCTTAATTATGCCTTCAAATTGATACTTTTTGATGAATTAAATCTACCCACCAAAGTTGTTGTTTTTTTTGTGTGTAAAACTTTAGGCCCACATGGAAAAAATTATTAGACTACCTAATTTTCTGATATTCATTTTTCTAAAGAAAAACTCACTTTTAATACAAATTTTGTTCAATTTAATTATAAGTAATGTTAACAAAAATTTGTATATACGATATAGGGGCCTACCTAATACTTAAAAGTTAATTTTTAGATTTTGCCTGACATGCCTTTTCTTAATCATCTTTAAATGCTGCTCTCAGAGCTTTATTACTTGTCCCTGTATAATATATTCTATCAAGTCCACAGATCTAATTGTCTTTCTTTTTGGTTTACCTCAGACGCCTCAGTTCTAATACTTCAAAAGGTAGATAGGCATAAATCAGTTCATAAATCATTTAATAAGAATTTTTTTTTTTGGAAAGTCCAGAAATATGAAAGTTTTTTAAATAAAACTCTCTGCAAACAATAACTTTTCTCCTTAGAGATTTTAAAGAAGAGATATTTACAACAATTTGTAATTCTAGTCTTTTTTAAATTAATTTTTTGGCGATTACATTTTTTTTAAACTATTAATTATAATTTTATTTCAATATTATAATTTAATATTGTCAAGTAGTCTGTAGATATGCTTTGAAATAACTGGTTTCTTCACCATTCCCATTTCAAACTGTTTTTGAAATTTCCAAATTTACATTTTTAATTAAATTATTTTAAGTGCTTATTCTTACAGTTTTAAAATTAAAAGGTATATTATTTGGGGGGGGGGGGAGTGGAAGGGGCAGCAAATAAAGTTTATAATACAAAACATTATATGGTTGATGTTTCACGGTATAATGTTTGCAATAAAAAGTAGAGTTAATGAATTTTTAAATTGTCTGCTTTTTATAAAGTATTAATTATGATCTATAAATTTGGAATACATGGGTGGTATAAAAAATATTTTAAAAAAAACAATAATCAGTTAATTTACTATTTTGACGTTAATATACTTTTTTTTAAAAATATTTTTCAACTCTGATGTGTTAATATTATTGTGATATTCCACATCAGAGAATTTTCAAATTATTTTGTTAAAAATACAGCTACATCTCTTATTCGCCTATGCATCCATTGTTAAAAGAGAGGGGGAGAAAGAGAAAATCTTTGAAAATATAAACAGCTTTGCATTATGGAACATGAAGTAATTTCCCTAAAAAAATGTCTGAAATTCCTTTTAAATTTGTGAACATTATGTTCACCATTAACAAAAATAGCATACTTACCTTCGCCTTCTTTAAACCTATTGATAGACAAGGTTATTTATCCTGCTCTTCTTCCCATCTGAAAATCTTTAAGGGCTATATTCCCTTTTCTCAACTACTTCATCGTCTTCCACTTTGCCAGGATGAAGTTTGGGACAAGGCACTTCCGATAATTGACTACTTCCGCTGTAGGTCCTGTCGGGGGAGAGTACATTCATAATCGCATCAATGTGTTAAAAAGATCACAATTTTGCAAACCGTGACCTTGTGTCAACCAGACTAAACACATTCCCTTCCCTAAAGTTAGGTTTCAGTTAAGTGAGTCTTCCTTTGCACTAGCCGCAATATAATCTTCACTATTGTCTGTAGGCCCTACTGGACGTTACCTCTTGGACAGATGTAATGAACGCTTTTGAAATATCGCGCAAGATAAACAGTGCCCTCCCTATCTCAAAAGTTTCAATAGAAGTGACCACAAATCTCCAATGACCTGTCTATCACACCCAATGTGTTGAAACAACGTGCCCACCAGGTTGAACTTAGAGAACAAACTATTCCAGACTTATGGAACCTTGTCACCACATGATATGAATGTCATGTTATGCTCCCTTTTCTCCGCTCCTAGTTACAACCAATAACCGTAGATTTATCTTTCCTCTCTTCCACCCCTCATTGCCTATATTAACTCTCTTGCTATAATAATAGTTATTACATTTCTCTTGCTGTCGAAACTACATTGCAGCTTAGTGTTTTTTATTTTTGTATTTTTTATATTGTTTTCACTGTTGTTTCTTCGCTGAAGAAGGTTTCTGCCGACACGTTCGATATTTTGTTGCATCTTTTCTTCTGGTTTTCCATTACTTCCCCCCCCCCCCTTTTTTTTTTCTTTTTTTCATTTTTTTTTTTTTTTTTTTTTTTTTTTTTTTTTTTTTTTTTTTTTTGTTGAATATGGTTTTTTCCTACTGTTTTTTTTTTTTTTTGTTTTTTTTTTTTTTTTTTTCTTTTTTTTCCCCCCCCCCCTTTTTTTTTTCTTTTTATCAATAATTGATTTTATTCGCCAATCATTTTCTAAATAGAAAAAGAAACTTGAAATTTGAGATGCATAGAGAGTTTTCAAATGTCTATTTTAAATGAGATGTTTTTGTCATTGACATAATATAAATTAGGTTCTGAGTTGACACTATTTTCGGCGTTTTTGTCTATTTGTTTGTTTTTAATGTAACCGTAATTATTAATTGAAACACACACACACACACACACACACAAAGAAGAAATGAGTGGAAACGATTGCGTTTCAATTTTTAACACAATGCCCCACGATTTCTTCGGATCGTTTCAGATGACTCTAATGAATACATTAGACGATCAATTGTTTAGTCACCTCCATCTTGTCATCATCTTCCTTTGGACTTTTAAGGTTCGTTGCTGCTGACTGAAATTCTATAGCCCCACAAACTGACACTGTGCTCTGATGCGTTTACTGGCTGTCAAAGGAATTGAGACTTTTGGTCGGTTTTTTTTTTTAATTTCCTTCCAAATTATTCTGTGTATTTCAGAGTGTGGTTACCAATTTATTTATGACATATCATTGACAACAAAAACAAATAGGAAAAAAAAAATCGAACTTGACACTGTTGTCAATCAAGCAACAACTGGTTCGGTACTTGTCAGCATTTAAGCATCAAAGAAACTGTTAGGTGTCATGAAATGGTTCAAGGTAGTGAGTGACACAGAGATATCTTATCTGAGTCTGACAGTTTTGTTAGATTGCTGCTAGGCCAATCGATAGCCTTCTGTTAGGTCTCAAATTTTTTTGCTGATCGTTGTTTTAGAGTAGTATTCTCTTCAGATATTTTAGCACATTTATATCCCTTTGAGTAATTTCTGCCAAACCTGCAATTTATTTATTTATTTATTTATTTAGGCATATTTATATATCGCTTATCATAAAGCTCTAAGCGCTTTACAATTATTAAAACATGTTAACTAAGTAAATAAAAATGAGACACTAGGATAGTAACTACTATACTATAGAAACAATGAAAATGGCTATAAAACGAGGACACTTTGAAACTTCAGGATCAACCCGAAACAGAAAATTAAACAGAACATGACAATGATTAAAGCTACTAAACATTTATGTTTTCTTTGCTGTTTCCATATGCTGAACAGTTGCAAGCAGTTGAACTTCGTATACATCAATTGTTGAGAACCTTCATTGCGCATTTGCAACACCATTTGTTCTCTTCGGCATCCCACACACTCGTTCATTACTTTTGCTTTGACATGATCAATAAACGCGTCTTGAAAGTTTAATGTGGTTCTTTTCTATTTCCAGGAAGTCATAAGAACTCATTAAATGGAACATGACTAAAAATAAAAAATAAAAAAAATAAAAAATTGAAAAAGAATGGAACTTCTTGTCTTCCTCAATTCTAGGGAGATACGCAAATGGATTCAGGTTAGGGGGGGGGGGGGTAAATGCTTTGGTAAGTTCCATCATTGCAGGTATGTTAAACGGTTCCCTCAGAAAAAATAAAAAAAATAAAAAATTGAAAAAGAGTGGAACTTCGTGGCTTCCTCAATTGTAGGGAAGTACCCAAATGGGTTCAGGTTAGGGGGGGGGGGTAAATGCTTTGGTAAGATCCATCATTGCAGTTATATTAAAGGGTTCCCTCAGACTGTTATAGTAAGTGCCCTGTGATGCAAAATAAGTTAGCGACGACTTTAAATCAAAATGATAACATTATATATATTCTAATGTTGTATGTTTTTGCTTATTTTATTTTTTTTCGAAATCAAACTATCTCTTAATCGACGGATCTATCAAACTAAAACATTCAGTTTTTTCTCTTGCCTTTGAGAAAATA